TGCCACAGGTGCAATTTAACCGTGGTTAGTAAAGTCAGCGAAACAGTGCTGAGATATGTTTTCCATGTCCCCAACAGTGGTACATTTCAAATTTCCTTTCATCCTGATTGGCAAATCGACAAAATGGCAATGACAAGTGGGAACCCAGAACAAGGATTTTGGTGCTGTTTTACAGATGGACTTAGCCTGAGTATCATTCTGTCTGTGGAGCAGGTTAGCTAAAACCCTGACACATAGAGTTCTAAAGTGATGACACGTGTCATAAAAATTAAATTTTCTTAAATTATGGGATTTGTTGGGATATTTTGAAAGAACGACATCTGAAAGGCCTCCTTGCCAAAACTAGCATTGTGGGACAAATTGTCTTAGAGATACTACTCCTGTTTTGCTCTGATGACTCCATACAAATCCTTCTAAATTTGACTTGGTTCCTAACGTTATGAACTGAGTCAAATTTAGAAGGATTTGTATGGAGTCATCAGAGCATAACTGGGCTAATATCACAAAGGCAACTTGCCCTGGAATGCTAATTTTTGGCAACTAGGCATTTTGAAAGTGGTTCTTTCATAATACCCCGAAAAATCCCATAATTTCACAAATTTAATTTTTTATGACGTCACACTAATAAAGTAATATAATATTGGTAAAAGTGGAAGTTCTTCAGAGAGAAAGAATAATATTTGTGGAGTTTGCCAAAAATTAATAAATATTATCATTCTAGCTATTTTCATCATTATTAAAATTAAAGCATCCAAGAAAAGGAAAAAAAACAATGTCTGTCTCTCTTACCTGTCTCTTTTGCCATCAAAATCAAATGATAGTTGTGGCTGTAGATGTTCATCAGGTTTTATATCATCTCCAGTGAATTTAGCTCCAACTCTTCTGGGTCTCTGAACAGTGCACACAAAGTACATGGAAGTAATCAGCCCACTTGGAAAAGAACAATTACAACTAGAAATATGTGTCTCAAGGAAACCAAAAGAACTGAAAGAAATTTAGCAAAAGGGTGTTCACTTGTGGCTCAGGGATCCACACACAATCCATGGATCAGGTAAATTTAGACAAATTTTTAAACCTCTCTCCTCGCTACATTGGAAGGAATTATCCTTCAAAGCATTGAAATAGGAGTACCCGTAAGTAAAACTGTTGTTATGGCTTATTCTCAAAAGAAAAAAGACCCTACAACTCAGGAATACTGAATCTACTAAGTGTCATGTTTACCATTGATCTTAGAAATGCTTTGAAAATTAAAAGCTAAAAAACCATAATTTAGCCCTTTTGGTGTACAACTGGTTTCCACTCAAGATTTAAAAGATACAGTATATATAAACACACGGTCACAAGTTTAAGTTTACAGCAAGATTGCTCAAGGATAATATCGAACCCTTTGTGGTCAACAAAGCTTAAGGGGAGATCTGGTCAAGCAAGAAAATTCCATTTATTTTGATTAGTTACTTAAACTGCCTTGATTGTGAGGGAATGACACGAGTACTGTGATCTGCGTGTGCTGAGGCATGTACAATATTTATTCATTCTTTGCAAAGTCTGTTTGTTCAAGAAAATATTTTCACTTAAAAGTTGTTTTTGTTGCATGGTTAGCTTCTCCCAGTTGTGTGCAAGAAACAGTTTTCTGTCTAAATACAGAGAGATCTGAGAACGAGATTATGTCAAGGGTTGTCTAGCAAAGAGTAAATATATGAATGAATAAATAATTTTATAATAAAATGATTGTATTTTCATTAAAAATAATGTGGCCTAATATTTTTTCCCCAAAACATAAAGACTAGTGAAACACAATGGTGCATAAAACATACTGATTTTCAAGGACATCAAGGATAAAAGTGTTATTTTAATACCTCCATGCAGTCTTTCTTTTTATGTGTCATTGCTCCACAGTTTTCACAGGCCCCTTTCCTAAACTTAGTAGCAGATGGCACCTATAAATGTTAATAAGATCTTTAATGTTATATTTCTGTTTATATAATTACAGCTGTAATATGTAAAAAACAATATACACTTACAGGACAAAATTTCCAGGTCATTCAACTGATTTAAATAAATATTTATATCCCCCAGATTTCTGGATTTTGGACATAGCGGTATACTAAGATAGGACCAAAACAGCAACTGCAACATAGCAATGACTTGGTCACCAGAACGAAAAAGAAGAAGAGAAAGACCAAAAACCACCTAGACTACGAGTAGTCTCCCATTTTTCCCCAGGGATAGTAGAGTGAGCAAAACGTGAACGCGCATGAAAATCACCTGATGTGAGAAAAGACGACATGCAGCAGGGAGAGAGAAAAATGAGTCGGTAGTCCCTCATTTTTCTCTCTCCCCGCCGTATGTCTCCTTTTCTCACATGGGGTGATTTTCACGCATGCTCTTCTATCCCTGAGGAAAAAATAGGGGACTACTAACAGCCTAAAAACCCACCTTCAGACAAACGGTTGAAAAGGAAAGGGTAGAAGCAGGGTGGTAATAATGGGAGGAAGAGAAGACCATTGTATGCATCTAACTGAGATTATGTGGAGGAACTCTGTGAAGGCTTTATGTGCTACAAGGCACAAAGAGGATAGGTGAGGTGAGGTGACATGAGATCTCTGGATTTAGCAGGCAATGAAAGCCAAAAAATTATTCCATGTATTTTTATTGAAAATATGGTCAATCAAATATGCCCTTGGCATTTTCATGACCGAGCTGTCAAGGGGGAAAAGATTTTTGTAAATTCCAAGCTCTTTACTTACTAAATTTGTTCCTTTCTTATACCACTCATTTATGGAAGAAAACTGCTTCTGTTTGTCGTCCTGAGGTCGCTGATGTTTCAAAGTAGGCCTAAAGGACAAAAGAAATGTAGCGATCAACATTCTTTTAATTTCCTTTCACAAGTGTCAGAACAAGTTTGTGTAGACAGTAAGGACGAGCTGGAAAGGAGAATGAAAAGGGCAAAGGAACTTTATACAAAATGTACGAGAATTATTCATCTTTTGTTCTCCTACCTTGATGTTCCATAATACCAAGGCGCTTGGGAAATATACTGCGGAATATGAGGGTTAATGTCCCTGGAAAAATATAATAAAACAAATTTCAGTATGACAGCTAAACAACGCTGCTAGTACTTTCAACAATAAGGCTTTTAATCAAACAGAACTCGACTAAAATAGAATCATAAGCATCGACTCACTTTCCCTCCTCATCAGTCAAAGCTGGCGCTGTACCAGCCTTTCTAGCTTCTTCTAACTCTTTCTCTTTCCGCCAATCTAATCTACTCTTTTTCTGCGACTCAGTTTTGGCCGCCATCTTGTGTTTTCCTTCCCATAGTCCAATTCCAGTGTAGTGGAAGTTAGTGAGTGCGTAGCAAGAACAACGTCACTTCCTTTTTCGTCTTTTTGTTTTAGATTTAAGGGAGGGGACGGTTAGCTGTTCTAAATAAGAATTGATTTTTCTCCCTTTTTACGCCTCAAAATACAACAAAAAGTACGTTAAGATATTTTTCTATATTCAAAATATCAATAATTTAGTAATAAAGTGCCAGAAATTTGTCAAAAAATGCCTTTTATACCAATGACAAAAGTCATCCTCAACGTGCCCGGGTAGAAATATTTGTGCCCAATTGAAATAAGAAATTGCAGAGTTCTGTAACGTTATCGTAACTGGCGATTGAGCAATGCTGGACTTCACGAACATGTTTTTATCGTTGTGTTTCCTCCTTATATCGAAAGCTTTAGCGGATGAATATTCTAAAGGATATCTTAGAAGGGAACATTCAATTTTTAAAGGTAAAATGACCAAGTCCTTGTTAAAAATCTTTATGCAAGAGTCTTCCAAAATTGAACTTTTTGAAGTCGTGGAAGGCTGCGTTCTCTCGTATGTTTCATTTCCTGTCTAGAGAAAGCTGGGTTTCTTCAAGTTTTCTCTCGTCTCTTTGGATTTAGTCTTTAATATATCTTCATTTCTGAGTCATTGGATGTCTGATGGATACCTGTAGGAAGATGCTTTGGTTTAGCTTGAAAGTCACTGCGGATCATGAGTGGCAGTTTTTTCAAGTGACATGCATGCGCGTCGCGAACGCGCTAAAAGAAGACACAAGCTTAAATTCTATGATTGTCTTAAATACATAGAAAACACTTACTTTCAGGCTTATATTTTTTCCCGAGAGTTATTTTTGCTGATCATATTCATTTGTTTGCAGTTCCTTTGGAGTCATTAAACTTTAATCTCAGCTCATCAGATACGTGATTGCGGCTTGTATTCATTTGAATGAAATGAACATTTAAGATTTTTGTTTTTTTTTTGTTTGTTTTGAAGATCAGTCAAAAATGAAAATAAAAGATTTCATGAATGATTTTTAGAGTATTTCTAAGCTGGATTACAAAATGTAGCTCAGTATCCAAAATGAGAAACTGCAGAGCGGGAGGTCGTGGGTTCGATTCCCAAAGCCGTCCAATGAATAACTGAGAAATGAAGGTACTCCTTTTTCACTGCAAATGGCAAGACCTTCACATGGCTTGGAAGACCACCTAAAATGGCGGTCCCGGTTCAAGTTGGAGATGTAAAAATAGAGTCCCCAATTAGTTCTTTTGGACATTGCCACTCAAATAAAGTGAATTTTTTTAGGGTATGGATCCTTACAAAAGGGTATCATTTTTACCCTTGTTGGCATTGTGTTCTCACTGTGATCCTTAGACAGGGTGCCTAACATTCCCCAGCTACACGAGATACAAATCATCTGCTAGTGTAATGAAAAGGATTTAATGAAAGTTTCTGTTTTGCTATTTGATTCTTATTTCTTACCTTTTTTCCCCTGAGTAGGGAGTTTTTTTCTGGTTTGGGCCCAAAATACATAATGCACATGTAGGGTATCAATTTTCTTTTGTCTCATCCCTAAATAGGGTCAGTGTTTAAGACCATGGGTGGCACAGTCATCTATCTGAAATTTATCAGTACCTCCCCACTCCCCACCCAGCAGGGTTGGGAGCAGACAGGGTAACCCTTCCTCTAGAATAATCCATTTCTCTTGTAAACGAAAGTGGGAAACACATGTTTTCCCTGTTACATATTTAAATGGCAGAAGGGTTACCTTTGACAGACAGAGACAGTAAATATTTTTTCACACTTTCTTTGTTTATCATTAATGCATGTTTGTAGAATAATTATCATGTGATGTAAACATTCTTTCACTGGCTTTTTTCGTAGGCTCTGGTCCGTCTATACCATACTGGGATTTCCATGGAAATACTTTTATATCAAGTAGCTATATTAGATTGACACCTGACCACCAGAGCAAGAGAGGTGCTATTTGGAATACTGTGGTAGGTCATGTAAAAAAATAATAATAATTATATTCCCTATGTGCATCCTACTTACTGACTTACAAGATGATGTCTCACTACTTAAGAAACATAATTGGATAACATTATCTGCCATATCCAGAATCTTCACAGTTAAAGTGCAAAAGGTGCTGATACTGTCTCTTTCACTTTCCATTTGCGCTGATCCTCTGTGAGCCTTTCACTCAATGGTCCAACATTCAGTTCTTCATCTGGGTGTGTCTATCTTTCATTAATTAGCTCCTTGTTTCTCCCACAGCTGTGGCTAAAAAAAGTTTGTTTGACAACTAGATAGCGTTCCAAGAACACGCATTTGGAGTGTATTGGGATTCCTGTGCTGAGATTGCTTAATTATTTGACTTTTTTTTGTTAGCCATGTCATGTTAAAGACTGGGAAGTAGTGCTCCACTTTAAAGTTCATGGAACTGGAGATGCATTGTATGGAGATGGATTTGCATTTTGGTATAGCAGAGAAAGAATGCAAGACGGTAAGGTTGAGAAACTATGTTTACATAATCTATGTGACTTTTGTACACTCCTGAAATACAGGCATGCTTGGAATTGACTGAGCCATTGACAGACTTGGCCCCAGTTGCTCAAAAGCTGGATCGCACTATCCATCGGATAAAGAGAGTGGATAGGTATTTAGAGAAACCAATTATTGTGCTATCCAGTGGATAGAGATTTATCCGGTGGATAGCACTATCCAGCACTATCCACCTTTTGAACAACTGAGGCCTGGGCCCAGTTGTTTGAAGGCCGATTAGTGCTAACCTAAAGATAAATAAAACCGAGTTTCTTTTTCTTTTGTTCAAGAGTACCCAATAATTTTCTCTATAATTCTGTTTAGAGCACCCTCTCAACAAATTGTAAACAAAGGGAATGTTAACCCATTCGCTCCTGAAAAATGCGTTTTGAAGCTAGTCGAGTGGTTTTCTGGTCACTGTCGTGCTATAAAGAGCTAAAACTTACCACAAACCGGTTTACAGGTCGTACACTTGGCGGCCTTCTGATCCAGATGCAAAATGTCAGCTTGCGAAGTTCGGGCATGCGCAGAAAGCAAAATTTCGACATAGTTTTTGGGTTTAAAAGTGACACAGCAGTCTTGACTTTTACTTTTCGCTTTCTCTCCTCCCTTCTTTTTTCGCTTTTCTTGCCTCATTTTTTTTTTCTCTTGCTGGGCATTTAGTAGGCTTCATTTTGGTGGGAAGAGTTTTTAGGAAAGCTTTTAGGATCTTAGGATTAGGTGAAAGGAAAGGTAGGTGGGTAATGGAACAAGATTTTCATGGAGATTTTCAGGTCCTTGTCACGTGGTTTTTTGCTTCTTTCTCCGGTGTCCTTGACTGAATTGTGCTCATTCTGGTATGGTTTGAAAGATCTCTTCACTCTGCACACGTGTGCGAAGAAAGTTGTCCTTGACCGTTAAAACTGATGACGTCACAAAGGGTAGAAAGGACCTGGATCCGCACGAGCGGTTACGGGCGGTTCAGGGGCGAATGGGTTAATTGTTGCTATTAATTTTTTTTAAGCTTTCATATTATGTGAATTCAATTCACAGACTGACTAACCTTGGGTTATCTTATCTAGCTTTGAAAAACCCGTCCCTGAGTTAACTTGATTGTTAGCAGGAAAAGTATTTAGTTTTCTGTTCCAGCTTGTTGGGCTGGTATTACAACCTCCTCCAGCATGGGGCAAAGCATTTACCACTAAGTCCCTGATGAAAATCCCTTGTAGCTATTACCTTTCTAGTCTAGTTTTTTGACATCTGTCTTTCATGTGAATCAGGGCTTCTGATTTTAAGCGATTGTGCGATTTCGCACAGCTGACCTCAGATCACAGTAAATTAACATTAACAGTAACAGATGAAAAGATTTCCAAGCTTAATATTTCAAGGTGATTTACCAGTAAAAAGCATTAAAAATATCTTAAAGCTTCGAATGCAGTTGTTTCAAATTGGTGGGCTGTACATTTTGGTTCAGTATACAGTCGAACCTCCCATAAGCGACCACCCAAGATGCAAAGACTTAGTGGTTGCTTATGGGAGGTGGTCGCTTACAAGAATCGAACCACAGGGGTCTTCTTCTGAGAAGATGTACAGACACACTTACTTTATGGAAAATAATTTATTGCATGCAATTTCTAAGTTACAACATGTGTAGTTCCAGATTGATTCTAAAATTCTTTGCATATTCTAAGTAGCATAGCACACACAGCGAACATAAGAGATCAGACAAATTGTCAAGTGGTCGCTTACAAGAGATTAAAAACGATGGAAAATCATTAAACTGTAAGCCCCAAATAGTAGTGGTCGCGGTCGCTTACAGGAGGTAGTCGTTTACGAGAGGTGCCAACTGGAAGGCTTTGACTGGGAGAGTTTTGGTGCTTTGGATAGCCAGTCACTTATGCGAGGTGGTCGCTTATGAGAGTTGGTCGCACATGGAGGTTCGACTGTATTGCTTGCCTGTTCAAAGTAATTTGATGTTAGCTTAATAGCTGTTAGACTGTCGAGCACAATTATTCCCGAAGGAGGAATTATTGTTGTAACAACAATTTTAATATATTGTATTTGAAGGTAATCATGATTATTTTCTTGCCTTTGTTCTTTCAGGCAGTGTGTTTGGCAGCAAAGATTATTTCTATGGTCTTGGCATATTCTTTGACACATACAGTAATCATAATGGAGAACATCAGGTACTACCATATTACAAAGGTTTGTTTGAAAGAAACAGAAAGTGGCTAAGTGAACCTTTTCCTCTTTGTCTCATTTGCCATTGTGAAAGAGGCAAGGCTGTGCTCTAAGAAAAATTAAAAGGAACCCAGTGCCCTAAAACTGTGAAATGTAATGTGCCCGGCATATAATTTCTATGAGTCTATGAGAAAACTAAGATTTTCTGTTCCCCTGGGAGCAAAAGTTGGGTGCCATTGGCCACCTGGCTCTGCTAGAGCACAGGGTTGAAGAGGGGATCAATATTTTTTTCAGAAAGTACTTTTGGCACAAGATACATAATACCTCCTCTACCTATGGCATTTGATGCTAGTGTTAACTTTTGTTTTATTTTCAGCATGAACATCCCTTCATTTCTGCCATGGTTAATAATGGTTCTGTTCATTATGATCATGATTCTGATGGAACTCACAGCCAGATGGCTGGCTGCTCGGTAAGTACCAGCATACACCTGTATACTGCAACTGTTTTTTTAAATAGGGGGTGAGTAAAAAGTTAATTTGTTGTTGTTGTTTTTTAGGCAAGTTTCCGTGGCCAAGGACATGACACTTTTGCCCTGATCCGTTATTCTGGAACACAAGATCGCTTAACGGTAAGTTCATGGACAAATATTGGTTATTAGCTCGTACGTCTCAACCTCTTGTTATTACTAAACACTGTTATGATAAAAACGCTTCTGCATTTAATACAGAAGTGTTTTTTATCATGAAGGTGAGACAGTTCTCTTGTTTCCAGAGAAACTAAATTTCACACAGTCCATGTCTCTGTAGTTCGGACACTTCTGTAGTGTGGCACTTGGGTAGTTAATTAAAGGAGCTGTGTCATGCTGTTTATCCAAATTCAGCCATAAGGAACTTGCCACCACTGCATATCGCATGAAAGTACTTTAAATAACAACTGAGACCAGTAAAGCAATAATACAGCAGATACAACTAAGGCACATATGGGCATATGGTGAATTGCAACATAATAGGGATTTTGAAACGTGTTCAGCCTAGCAGTTTTTCAAAGCTTTATTTGTTTAGGATCGAGACATCTGGTTTTCACAAATGCAACTCTGTGATTTTGTCATTTGAAAGTAGTATTTTCACTAATGTTAAGTTTAAGTCTGATAGAGAATATTTGGGAAATTTAAGGGCGGTGATAAGGTCCAGAAAGTTTAACTGCACTGGAGTGCTAGCTCAGTCTTTTGCATAATGTCAAGGCTATCATAACAAGACTGGTTCAAGACTGTCATTAATATTGTCAAGTGCTTCATTTGTTGTCACTTCAATGTTGTTTTAAAAAAATAAAATGACAAGCTTGAATATATTAAGTGATTGTAAAGAGTGTGGAATAGTATCCTTTGAATGCTAATATGTTTTAAATTCGTAATTAGATGATGGTGGATGTTGATAACAAGAATGAGTGGCGAGAATGTTTTGATGTTGGAGGAGTTAAACTTCCAACAGGATTGTATTTTGGTGCATCAGCTGCAACTGGCCAACTTGCAGGTATAAATTTTACCGCATGAATGAAAATTTTTTTGAAATTATGATGTGAGAATATTACTTTGTTTGTTAACCAGTATATAAGTTATATAATAGCTATAATATTAAGTTTAACCAAGGGCAAAACAAAGCTCTTGTTGGGTCTTCTAAGAAATGTCCTTTTGAGGTAATTAAACTTTTGCCATGAGCAAGTAGCAAACTGAATTCCTATTTCCTATTCCTGTTTCGCACCTAAGCCTGCGATCAACTGAAAACCATGAACTGTCAGCCGAAAACTCAAGAAAAACAAGTCACCTCTCGGGGAGTTGTACACCTGAATTGGCAATAAAGGCATGTGGCAATGGTCAGCAGATACCCTAGATTGACAGCTGTCAATTGGCCATAACATGGGTGTCCAATATCAAGTTAATCACAGATTGTTTTTGCCTTGGAACTCCAAGCTAGTAACATGAAGGACCGAACGTACGAACGGACGATTTTGTCAGAACCCATTAAAATTTCTCTGGCAGAGAGCTCCGCTATGATTAGGTTTATCAACAATGCAAGTGTCTCACTTTTACCTGCAATAAATCAAACCCTAACTATTCAAAGCCTTTAGATAAACATCAAATACAAACTTCTGACTGTTGAGTGTTCACTTTTTTGCCTGTGCAGATAATCATGATATCATGTCCATCAAGTTTTATGAAACTGAAGTACCTGTTATGTCTGATACCAAGAAGGATGAAGACCGATCTACAATAGTTCCATATGCTTCGGGAGCTGAACCTTACAGAGGTAGTGTGTAAAATACTAATAGTAAAGGGAGGGGGAGGGGGAACAAACTTAAAATCCTTCTGTCCATTCAAGAAAGATCGAATATGTATATACAGGGTTCGTACAGGTCATGGAAAACCTGGAAAGTCATGGAATTAAAGGATTTCATTTTGCAGGCCTGGAAAGACATGGAATTTAATTGTCGGTCCTTGAAAGGCATGGAAAATTAAAGTTTTGTTTCATAGATCAGTTACTGCATATGGACCATAGGGCCATTTATACGAGGAAAAATAAGACGCGTCTTACATAAGACGCGTCTTAAATAAGACGCGAACTGTACCATTTATACGAGCATGTCTTATCTAATAAGACGCGTCTTAGCTAAGCCGCGTCTTATTTTAGACGAAATGTGCCGCTTATACGGAAAGTTCGCGTCTTATTTTTCCTCGTATAAATGGCCCTAATGTAAGATACAATGATGTAGAGAGGAGTAACTGAATTAAACAGCGCAAACGGCACGCATTTTGGTGGACACCAGAGTTTGTGTCTGTTGAACTGTCTAAGGTAAAAAAATACCCTAAAACAAGGAAAGTTTTGAAAATTTTCGAAAAGTGACAGCTAAACCTAAGGTTATGGAAAACTTGAAAAGGTCATGGAAAAAGTCATGGACTTTGAAGAGCTCAAACGAGTACGAACCCTGATACATTCGGAACAGGCTGAAAAAAGTAATTACTTGCTAAGAAAGCAAATCGTGCACACATGGTGAATAAAAAAAATTACATGGAAAGGAGAAATTCCCCCTTCACTTTTTTTACGGTCTATTTCTAATTTAATGTATTTATTCCATATACCGAAAGGAGTACAGCCAACACGTGGACGGGAATCCCTATCGGCGGCAGACGGGACTATGAAAAATATGCTTTGTGACCTGCATCTGCATCGCGCTTCTGTAAATTGCTTTGTGTTGACTACACAACTACTACTTGAATTATAAACCACTGCTTCACGCAGTCGGCAGCACAATGAAGCACCACTATATTGGGGTCTAGTTTGGAACGCAACAAACGCTGCTGAATCGAAGTCAGCAGTAAACGGCACCGTACTGGAACGACTTATTGACGAACTCAAACAAAACTAACAACCATTGACTCGGGAATGGCAGGAAAAAACCCCCACAAATTCAATCAGCGATTGATACAAAAGAAAAGGACTTAACAAAGTACTGAAGGGGCTGTGCAGGCACGGCTGTTTAATTCATTATGTTTATAATGCCAATTACGCATCCTTATTCGCTATGGAACTTGCGAAATTACTCTTCAGTGGCAACATTACAGGTTCGTGTCACACGAATATGTCTCCCAAGCATGAAATCAAACGTTACAAAGAACAAAAATGAACTTTGCGGAAAAACTGTTCGGCTAATAGGTTTTAAAAAACCACGACTGCAATCCGTTTCAATCTTCTTCAATTTTTCCATTCATGACTTATTGTATTTGCCGTATTTTTTTACCTCGTCTTTGAATGTTTGAAGCAGTTATGTGTATGTTTGACCGAGTTCGGTGGCAGCTCGCACTGTTTAATTTTTGGCAAATTTCGTAACTCATCTCCTTTAATTCACTAACTTTTTATCTTATTGTCTTCAGATCGTGTCGAGGACGTGCAGGGAAGCTTCTCTTCAAGAACTGTAAAGATTTTTACCTGGCTGTTTTGGTTCGCTCTTGTAGCTGTCTGTGTCGTCGGAATTTCTCTTTATGTCTACCAAAAACGCCAGGAAGATTCAAAAAAGCGATTCTACTAAGTAGCGATAACTGAAGTGTGATATCAAAACAACCTAACGCGTTACCAGGAGAAAACGGTGATGCCCTCAGAGAAGAGCGCAAAAGAATGACAACTTTTTCATCTAAATTATTTGCATGCTTTTTGTATGCTCTTTGTTTTTACTGACTTTGGTATAATCTGTCATTTGGCCAATCTGAGCCTTTAATAGTGTGATCAGTCAGTAGCGAAGTACATTAATCAACTCGTTACTGTTATAAATGTATTAAGACAAGTCAATTCTCTCAGTGCCACGCTCCTAAATGGACCGCAAACAACAGAATAGTTTTGGACGGTTGTCACTAGTGTGACTTTCTGAGCACTTGAGTAATAGTTATTATATCGCGACGGCCAAGGTAGAGCCAAAGATTAAAAATGGCCTTTTCTTTATCATTTCATCCGTAAAAAAACACGTAGAACCACCTATTATTTAGCATCTTAAACTGTACGAAGAAAAGTACTTTAACTAGTCACCCAGAATTAGAATATATAACAAATTTGGTCGCTTGATGCGTTCTCGCGCGAATATGAATGGCTTTTTTGTCACGATGTGTACACGTGTAAAGAACGGTAGGTTAAAAACAGTTTTTATGCAGCCTTCAAACTGGCATGTTAAATTGTCGGATATGATGAAAAAATTAGCGAACGCTGATAAAATCTGATACCTCAGTTTTAATACCCAGGAATGCTAGATTTACGCTTTTAACAAGTCGCAACAATAGATGTAGAGTTACGTATGGCCTGCAATACGTTGTTCTTGGTCGAGATTTGAGGTGAGCGGAAATTTCGAAACAGTTCACATTGTGCATTCTATGATCGGTGTTTTGTCGAGCTAAAACAATGAGTATACAGTAATTCTAGGAAATGTATAAGCCCCGTGTGTATAAGTAAAAAACATTTTTTAAAATTGATTTAGACTGGCTTTACTGGCTTTGCAAAGGAATTGTGTACTATTGGGAGGATGTTTCCGTGATAAAAGTGTCTTACGGAAATAATAATACTAATAAAAAAAAAATTCCCCCCAAAAAAACATTACCCGCTGACACTTGCTGTGTTTTGATCTCTTGGTGTAGGCACCCTGAAATTTAGTTTATTCGGACTATCCTTTGTCCCATGTATGAGTAAAACTAAAAACGTAAGAAGTATTGTTGAATTAAGTTTGAGTTTGTGCAACGGTGATCGCTGAAGTTCTTTTCTGGTAAGAGGAAAGGAGTAGACCTTGTATCACACCCACGTGTGTTTTTTAAATTCTGGAAATGGGCGCCAGATAGGCCTTAATAATAATAATCGTCAGGGAGCTCTAACCATAATAATTTTAGAGATTTTTGCAGGCATTTCATTCAAATTTAAGAGCCATTATCTGAGAAAATCGAGAATCGCACGACACTCGTCAAAAAATCGAATTTTTTTTTATTTTGTCAAAACATCCCTTTTAGTGACCTAATTTAAGGAAAAATAGTTTTGGGTTCAAACGATTCATTTTAAAGGAGAAATTCAAAAAAGTTTGAAAAATCGATTTTATTCCTGTTTTTCGAACAAAACACGGCAGGATGCAATGGCAACTTCGAGAGAAGGGTGAACGCGTAAGAAACATTCCCTGACATTGAAACTTCACCGAATTATTATTTTGTTCTTACTCTTGAAAACCTTAAAAAAAATTTGATAAACAATGCTTTACATTTTTATAATCGACAAGTGTAAAGAGGTCATATTTGTGACGTTAGACGTGCTAGAAAATGAAGGCCAACTTTGACTATTAAAAAGGCCTCTGGTATATGCCGCTTGATCATAAAATCAATATAAAATGGAACCTTGGCTTTTGTACTAACTTACTGGAAAGTTTTAGCTCTGGAAATCAAATATCATCCTGACACCAAAGGAAGCGGTGAGAGCAATTGAATTGGGAAATTTATGCAAATTAGACGGCTTGCGGACGGTTGTCAAACTAAAAAGAAAGGTTTTACATGAAAGGATTACTCACCATTGCTTGTAACACGTTTTTACGGCAAGGAAAGTTATTTCCAACTTCTTTTGCGTCGTTTTGAGTCACAAAATAAATAATTTTTAGCCAAAAGACAAACGTACGTTTGCTCAGCAACTGCGTCCGAATCCGGCCGTGAATCGAAAGTCCCAACACGTCGAAGCAAGAGTTACAAGAGTTTTTAGTTCAGTCAGGAGGCAAAAGGAATAAAAATTCATCGCAAACTAATGACTTCGATTTTGAAAACCTTTCATCACTTCAATCGTTAGTCGGCTGATAATAAACATCGCACAAGATCGTATGACCTTTGGCGTGTGACCGGAAATTGGTCACACGCTTTAGTCACGTCAGCATGCTGTCACGAAATTTTCGTAGCTGTTGTCAGCAATTTTAATGCAGTTTTCACATTTTTTGACAAGAATTCCCCTCATCGCAGTAGAAACAGCCATGCATATTTATTTTTCTTTTATTTACCTACTAGGCTTTGAAACAGCTTTTTTGCCTTCGAAGTACCAAACAGGAGGGGTACCTCGGATTCCAAGTGTCGTGAGTGACCCGTGGAAGCGAAAATCAAGACCAAAAAAGAACGAATATTTTGAATACTTAAGTAAAGCCACAGCTAAAAAAAAAATTTGTTCAAAATATTTTCAAAACAAGAAAAAAACATACTTCGATCATCCCCGTGACTTGGAATCTGGCCAGGGTAACCCTCCCCCTCCCCTCCTCCCCTATGCCGGGTCAAAATACTAAGTTCCCCCGGCCCAATGTCCCATAGTCAAGGGAGTATACTCTCTTGCTGTAGTAAAGAACTTGCAGAATAATACCAATTCTCCGTGGCCAACGGATTCAACGCTATAGTTTACTTTGGTTTTCGCTATTTGCTCACGATCAGGAGCCTCCCCCAACCGCGACCAAATTATGAAACCTGTTATTACCAGAAAAAAAAAAAAAAAACACAAAGAAACAGTCAGTCAGATAGACAGTACATAATAAAAAAGACCTCGATTAAGATTAAAAAAAAATCAAGACATGACACTGTCGAATACGAAAACCCAGAAACCATTCGTATACAGCTATCAGCTGCTTTTGTCCACAACTCGCCGGTAGAGGTGCGCGGAAACTAGTGATTGTGAAATGGCTTCAAACTATGATCCTATAGTGTTGGAATATTACTTATGACAGAAAGCTACATCTGATTTCTTCTAGCAGACACAATCCTCTTGGTTCGTGTGGACAAAGTAGCTCATCCCGGCTGTTTGCACCATGCTAGCATAGTCTCCCTAGATTCCCAAGCCTCGCACGCAGACTTTCCTGTCCCACGAACGTTGGGTAGGATTATAGGACGAGCCAAAAGAAAGTGAAGGCTATAGGCTCTCGCGATGATGCAAGGAAGGTCGAGTATTATATTCCCCTATCCAGGTCGCCCAGGGTAAGTCTTCGGAGGAGAGTGACTTAGGGGCAGTATGTTCGAAAAGTTGACTAACGCCCCCGGAACTAACGCTTTCCCCTGGATAAATCTATATCCAATAAGTAACGCAATTGCTTCATCTTATTCGCTTGATAGTGATTTCCTGTTGTTCAACGTTTGAACAACAGGGCCCTAAGTATTGTGTTTCGCCTTGCACTAAAAACCCATAAACCTTATAAATTTCACTATGGGACTTCAGCACCTGCCTTGAATGATCCATTTCGCTAAACGGGACCTCAAAACAACGATTCTGTGCATCCTAAGGGAGTGTATACTATACGTTCCTGGCTCTCGTCACTCACAGTGAGGTGATGGTGGCTCATACTCTAATAGACCTAACACAGTCGAACCTCCATGTGCGACCGCCAATCCAAAAGACCAAATTTTCCCATTCAAAGCCTTATATTTGGATTAACCTCCAGTAAACGACCTTCTGTAAGTGACTGCGACCACTTTTTGGGTTAATTGTTTTCCATAAGCGACCAGTTGACGCATTCTCTGCTCTCTATTTTTGCTGTGTGCACTATGTTCCTTGGAAAATATGAAGACCTTTAGTGACATCGTGGAACTACACATATCCTAACTTAGTAGATGTAGCCAACAAAGTGAAGATTCTGTTGTGATTCTAGACTATTCTATATCTCACTCACCTGAATCCCTCTTTGAATTGAGCATGATTTAAAAGCTGTATTTTTCAAAAGAGGTAAAAGATAATATTTTGCCAGGAATTTGTTACACCGCCATTTAATAGAATGTGCCCGGACCTCTTCTCGGAATAGACCCCATGTGGTCCGATTCTTCTAAACGGCCACCTCCCGTTAGAGACCATTAAGTCTTTGCATTTTTGGTGGTCGCTAACTGGAGGTACGACTGTATTACTTTGACCTATCAGAGGCTTACCGATAATAAAGGGGATCTGGAAGGGGGCATGGATGCGACAATCACATGCCAGGTCGCTTACTTAAAATAGTGGACATCTAACTGACAATCAAAGTTTGTGCTTATTATTGGGGTTATCTGGTGTTTACTCACCTCCCAAGCTACCCTGGGTGAGCCAACTTTTCTTCCATTTCCTTACAAAACTTGGTAAACCATTTACATGAGAAACAAAAGGTTGGTTCGGATAGACGCCTTACTACCAGTAGTGGGCGGGGTTGAGGGCTTCCGGAAGTCAGCCCTCCACTGAGCCGGTAGTGGTGGCCTCACCCTTCTAGCCCGGCTAATATTTCTTCACTTTGGTCAAGGCTAGACAAAGACAGCATGCGCAAGCACTGTTGACTCGGACAAAGTGGTCAGTTTTTTCCTCATACAAACGCTCGCAAAAGTTGGCTCGGCTGGGAGGTTGACCTTCTCTCCGGCACAGCTTTTCTCCATCCATGGGTTCCAAACAGTCTTTTAGCAGTCACGTTTGAAATTTATAGGAAAATGATGTAGCACTTCAAAAAATAATAATAAAAAAAATACACTTTTTTCACAGCCTGTCAATGCCTAGAAGGTGTCTATAAAAGAAATCAACTGCAGAACAGGAGTCAATTTCAGTTTTTTGCGCTTTTCATGTTAGCACTGCGAAGCGGACTGGGGGTGCGAGACACGCGCGATGCATGGGGAACAAGTTCTGCAGGCTATAAAAGAAATTTAAAAACAAACAAACAAATAAAGCAGGCCTGATTTTATTTCGATGTGTCTATTTTTTGTCGAAAGCAAACGTGAAAAATCGTATTAAAATTTGTGACAGTATGCTAACGTGACTTAAGCGTGTGACCGATTTCCGGTCACACGCCAAAGGTCATACGATCTTGTGCGATGTTCATTATCAGCCGACGAACGATTGAAGTGATGAAAGGTTTTCAAAATCGAAGTCATTAGTTTGCGATAAATTTTCAATCTTTTGGCCTCCTGACTGAAGTAAAAACTCTTGCAACTCTTGCTTCCAAAGGACCGCAGTGACGTGTTGTGACTTTATTTCGATTCACGGCCGAATTCTGGCGCAGTCGCTGAGCAAACGTACGTTTGTCTTTTGGACCTTTTGGCTTAAAATTATGGATTTTGTGACTCAAACCGACGCAAAAGAAGTTGGAAATAACTTTCCTTGCCGTAAAAACGTGTTACAAGCAATGGTGAGTATATCCTTTCATGTAAAACCTTTCTTTTTAGTTTGACAACCGTCCGCCAGCCGTCTAATTTGCATAAATTTCCCAATTCAATTGCTCTCACCGCTTGCTTTGGTGTCAAGATGGTATTTGATTTCCAGAGCTAAAACTTTCCAGTAAGTTAGTACAAAACCCAAGGTTCCATTTTATATTGATTTTATGATCAAGCGGCATATACCAGAGGCCTTTTTTAATAGTCAAAGTTGGCCTTCGTTTTCTAGCATGTCTAACGTCACAAATATGACCTCTTTAGACTTGTCGATTATAAAAATATAAGACATTGTTTTTCAAATTTTCTTTTAAGGTTTTCAAGAGTAAGAACAAAATAATAATTCGGTGAAGTTTCAGTGTCAGGGAATGTTTCTTACGCGTTCACCCTTCTCTCGAAGTTGCCATTGCATCCTGCCGTGTTTTGTTCGAAAAACAGGAATAAAATCGATTTTTCAAACTTTTTTTAATTTCTCCTTTAAAATAAATCGTTTGAAGCCAAAACTATTTTTCCTTAAATTAGGTCACTAAAAGGGATGTTTTGGCAAAATAATAAAAAATTCGATTTTTTGACGAGTGTCTTGCGATTCTCGATTTTCTCAGAAAATGGCTCTTAAAACGGTTGGCCCAACATTCAGTCAAGTTTCAATGTCCAAATATAGTCGTAAATAACAAAATTAGAGCATGTGTGTTTTAGTTATTCAACTGATGTGAATATAAGTTGTAGTGGTTTAAAAAGATACTAAATAGCGTGACGTAAGGCCCTTTTAAAGAAATTGAACCGATATCTCCTTTCCAGTCCTTTAAGAGGCCCTGCCAGGGGTGGTTGAGGGAGAGGGGACGGGAAGGGGGCGGGGGGGGAGGGGCGTGAGCATTAGACCTCACTCGGATAATTTAGCAATCTACTCCCACCCCCGCTTGCACCCCAAGTAGAGCTTATTGCCTGGAAAAAAGATTATGTAGCTTTACGCATGGATCACTAAGCCGTTCTCGTTGAAAGTAGACCTCAATGTTGAACACTAGTATTGAGCTGATAGCCTTCAAACCTATAGTCTTAGTATCATTTTTTTGCTTCAACAAGTTCGTTCCCTGCTCTACCGAGAGGGTGGTCTCCTTCGCGGCCACTCGAACCGGAGCCACGCAAGCTCCCCGAGCGGCTGCTAAGGAGACTAGCGGGAAGAACTATAATTTGTTCGAGAAATGGGGTAGACAAGTCAAAGGGAACAGGTAGTGGGACAAGGTGATTCTCCCCTTTTCTCCACTCGTCGCTTGAGTTAAAGCTTGCGTGCAAACGTCTCTTATTTCCTTCATCCCGGCGTAATCAATCGAACTCAATCGAATAGGAGACGTCTACAAGCAGCAAATGTAACGACGCTTGCACTCTAACTGGCTTATGTCCACCCACGATCAAATCGACCGATGCATTTAATTTATTCTTGGCTCCAAAGCTTAAGGGAATATTAAAAAAAAGAAATCACCTTGGATTTGAGGGAGGAATAATACATTCTTCTATTTTATTCCCCCAAAGTCCTCGGAGTCCAGTACGAATTTTAATCTCATGAAATATTAGTCTATTGATCGCACATTCTACTTCAGCCTACCCCTGCTTTCTATCGGGTGTTAAGGACAATGGTTAACATTTATTCACCGTAGTGGAAGTGGAGGTGAAAAGTACAAGATAATTACCTCTAAGCTAGCCAATCAGGGCGCTCGAAAAGCATTATTGACCGGCTTGGTATACACTAATCCTTGTTTTAACATATACTGCAAACTTGCACGTATAAGCTCCCCCCGCCCCCAGTTTTAGGCCCATCTTCCTCTAAACAAAAAAAATGCATCCGGTTATAACCCGCCCTCGGATATAAACCCCATTCTGGCTTGTATTGAAATGATTTCGACTTTTACTACTACTGACTCCAAGACAAAGTCACTGTTCAAGCTTTATTCCTCAAAGACCAGCGGTGCTTTAAATTATATTTACACCCATTGTCATTACACTTTCGATGTTGTAAAAGCTGATGATATATGGAAGCACAAATCTCTTTAGTGGTCCTTGTTGCACTTTCTGCCATTGTTTTCACGCTACGAAAGCTCCACCATCCTGGCCGGCGGATAGGAGACCGCGCAATTCTTATAAGCCAGCTACACAATTACAAAAATGCTACTAACTACTATTTCAAGTCTACGATTTTTTGGACGGTAAGTGACCATGTTGTTTTCTTATTAACAAAAACTCACGATTCTTAATGTTGGTGCTTGCTCTCAACTGTTAAGGGAGTGTCAAGCAAAACCGCTGCACACTCCAGGCATTTCATACAATGAGATGGTGATGAAGAAGTTTAAAAGAGCTATGTCAGGCTATTTGCTATCTTATTGAAAAACAAAAACCTGTCTTCAGTATCCTTGAGCTAATGGTCCAAACTACAATGGAAGATAAGTAAACTTTCAACACTGTCAGCAGCCGTGTTATTCTTTCTCCGAAATACTGTCGATATTGTGGGTCGTTTCTATGGAAATGAATGAAAAATAATCCTTTTTTGGATTCATCGTTTCTCTTCCTAACGGAAAATCCTAATGATCTGGATTTCTGGTCTGATCTTGGATTTTATTAAAGAAACGCACCCTTGTTGCTGCGGATGGCAAGGATGGACACAGATTGAAACTTGAAAAAGTAGCGCCATTTTTAAAATGCTACAACTGTTATAAATCTAGCCAGCGAGGCGAGCAAGCTATCCGGGGCGCTCTGGCGGCGGGGCGGGAGAGAAAAGGAGAACTTACAACACGTCTCTTCTCTGGAATTTGATATTCCACCTCCAATTCCCCTGTGGCTCCCCGTCGACTAAGCCGTCAGATTTCCGCCAATCAGCGTGAGGCGGAAAAGAGCGCGAATGTAAACAAACATTGAAAAACACGTGCCAAGGATAATAACCTCATTATTAATGTCATCTTCGCCAATCAGCATTTCGCATCGACTATTTCCATGCAGATATTCAAATTCCAGAAACGTAGTTGCAAGCTCTCCTTCCTTTTCCCACCCCGTCGCCAGAGCGCCCTGGAGAGCTTGCTCGCAGGCTATAAAAAAATCCCAAAAAGTTAAAATGGTTCTCTGATATCTTCTACAGAACTCTACAGGAGCATTTTGTGTATGGGTAAGGACACTAATTAATGACTTAATCACAGAATTGACCTAAAACAGCAATATCTTGTGACATAACTCCTTTAATCACAGAGAGCCTACTCATAACTTAACTTCTTTGCACTTCTCAAATTCTCAAAGATTCTAGGGCCTGCAGAACCAGTGTCAAAACTACTTCGTTCAGTTTAAAAACTCTCTGGAGAGATCGAAAAAAATATGTACAGCCATCGCAGTTAAAATCATATCAGACAACTTGAAGATCAACTCCATACTTTCAAAGTTGTGCATTTCAAATTTGTGGGTTGTGCGTTTTGACGTTTCTTAGCTGACGCCAACTTCGGACCGAAAAAAAGAACTGCAGACTAGTAGAAGTCGGGCTGTCGTTTCTGCTCTGAAGTGTCAAATTCAGAAAGCGCTTGTATGGGTGACTCCTGCCTGACTTTCTCTGCCCTCTGTAGTTGTGGAACGCGGTCGTCTTTCTCCAGATTAACCAGCGGTTTCTTTTCCGGCGCACGCATGCGCCACGTGATACTAGACGTCTGCAATGGAAAAAGAGAAAAGCATTGCTTCAAGAATCGCATACAATTGACATATTTAGCATCCAGTCGAGGCCCATTACTGCTCTGTATCAACCTCGACTTCATTACTCGGATAGCCTGCGTAGCAAGCGTTTCCAATCGAGTTATTGCGCGAAAGTTAGAGCGGGAGCCAAAAAAAGAAACCCCGTCATTCCTTTTTTTCTGCTCTCGTACCAACTTTTGTCGACGGAAACGCTTGCTACGCAGGCTATTACTCGGATAGTAGCCTGTGTATCTGGACATAGTTATTAGAGGAGACTGGTTATGAAGGGCGGCAAACATCAAATACAAAAACAACAGTGCTGCAGTTTATGTTGGAAGCTCCCTTGTTTTCTGTTGGCAAATAGATCTCTTTAGCTTGAATTTTTTGTTTTCCCAATAGAGGTCCCAGGGGAACTTGACCCTTTGTCTTTTCATAAATCATGCGTAGATATGGACGTGAATAAGACAAAATCTGAAAGAAACAGTTCCCTTGAGTGTTGTCACACGACCTGTATTAGGAAAACAAAACATACAAGCTAAAGAGGTCTATTGTAAAGGAATAAATTAATGGGACGTTTTTGTTGGTCAATAAGATCAAAATGTTAGGAATGCCATAGAACGCACCGTCAGGTCCACAAATCATATAACAGAGGGGTCTGACGGGTTTCATAACCATTCTATTCTATTACCTATGATCTGGAGGGATTAGTGGGTGAGTGCTGTAGTTAAGTTTTTTGATGATGGTGGAGCCGCGAGAAGAGCACCACGGAAATGACAATCCCGCCAGCTCCGAAGGCTACCGAGGAAGTAAATACGGTCCACTCCTAAGTCGGATTTAGTTTCGTCTGTGGCGCAGGCTACAGAAAAGTCGAAAACTTGAAGGACCGCGAAAAAGAATGAGCGAAAACTAGAGCGAAGCGTGAGCTGATAGGAGTGAAAAGTTGGCGAACGAGACTAAAAATATATTCCCAGTTTGGGCGTTACTCTTAATACGAGAAAACAGAGGTGTGAATAGTCTTGGGTGTCAAGGTTTATATACATGTACACAGTAACAATTTACCCTACAGTAACAGCTTACCCTAGCTTCTCCAGACTTGTGCTGCAGAAAGATGAAAATAAACAAAGTAAAGTCAGACCAAGGCTTCTTAATACAATTGGTTGCAAGTATATTATAACACAACGGTAAGACCATATATTTTCCACCATAATAACAACCTGGGCCGGGTTGTTCAAAGCTGCGTTAAGATAACCCGGGTTAGTGCGAAATTTGAATTCAGATATGAAAGGTTAAAAAGTAAATTCAGTTTAATTCTTTCTGGCAAGAAGTTGATGATTGGATTCCCTTAAAAATAACACAGAAAATTTTCCGAGAAAATAAGGAGGCAGAGACAGAGATAGAGATAGACTGAAATGAACAGTTTGCTGTACCTTTGTGTTAGCTACATAGGATGCTTTGACAGTTAAGATAACAGCATTCATAAGATTCTTGGCAGCTGTGATCAGAGATGTGGCACTATCCAACTGCAAGAAAAGTATATAATTATCATTACGATAACGTGAGAGTCAAAGAATGGTTTCATTAAACTTAGTGCATAGCATTTAAGCTTCAAAGTTAACATAAACCGCCCCAAAACCACTCCTAACACAATGCAGCCCTAAAAGTACTTTTCGATGGAAAAATTCTTAACGAATGATCCTCGCGTACTGTGCATGCAGCATGCTGCAGGCGGCTAGTACATAGTTATTTTGCAAATTATTCCTGCGAGGAAGAAACGCGGGGCTGCTCATTGAAATAAACTTAAGAACCACTTACCCCAGACACGACAAGTTCACCGCTAATCATCTGCACATCAGCTTTGACTCGCGCTGTGATAGTCAGCTGATGAGAGTAGAGTGCAATGCGCTGTATGTATGCTAACAAGTCATTCTTGGAGCTTGAATCAGGACACTGATGAAAAGCAGAAATAATAAAAGTATTTTAGAGAGAATACATGAAGAATAGCAAGAGTCAACATTTCTTCGTTAACCTTTTAACTCCTTGTTTGGCACTATCAACTGCAGGTTATGTTAAAGCAAATAAAATTGCTCAGTGCAGAGCTCACCCTTGATGCAATTTCTGACGCCTTTTGGTTCATCCTGGCTCCAGCCTTAGCAATCCTCTAAAATAACAAAAATGACAGCTATATAAGAGATAAATAATGGAAACTTCTACCAAAGCTTTCTAATACAGCAACAACCAAACAAACTGTTTACTTTCTAAAGACTCAGGTTGTTCACCCATCAAGTTACTGGTCACAGTCCAGTCCTTTGGTTTAGTTTTGCCATTTACCAATCCTTAAGGACTTAAGTTTTGCGCAGAAATTACTAGTAAATAAAAAATCTGCTACCTGACAAACAAAAATAAACAATCGCCTTCTGAAAACAGCGATAAACTTCTAACAATGTTAGGCTAAACAGTCTCTAAAACCCCATTTGAATCCGTTCCAATATTCTTTAATTTTGCCCATCCGTGCTTTCTTTATATTTGCAGTGTCATTCAAACCTTTCATCAACTTTTGTAGCCGTAAAAAAGTGTTTTGCTCAATTTGGCGGCCAGCTCCTAGTGGATGAATTTGACACACCTTTGATCGTCACTAAACGTAACATGGATAAGCGTATTACCTTGGCAGCGTCAATCACATCCATTGTTGTTTTCAAAGGCCCAGTTCCCCTAAGAATGAAATCGCAAATTCAGTTGAGAATGGCCATTTGAGGTCGCGCGAGAGACTGGGACAGTGTCGGGTCGAATTTAGACACAGGGCGCTTTCCATCCAACCAAAACTTTCCAAAATTTGGAAACGGCGGCAAATCGTACAGAAATTTCCCGGAAAAGTTTCCAGAAATTCCGGAAACTGTTGAATTTCCGAATTGGGAGGCATTCAACCGAAAATTCTAGATTTTCCGGGAGCAAAGTTGACTGGAAAGAAAACTTCCGGGAAAAAAAATTCGAAAATTTGGGTATACCTCGCGAGGTTGCCCTGTTTTTGGAATTTTTGAAAATGCCGTTGCATTCGCTCCTGGAAGTTGCCGAAAATTCAAACCCGACGTTTTGGTTGAATGGAAAGCGCCCCCAGCTTCTAGCGCAATCTCGTGATAGCCAATATAACAAAAGTTATGGCGTCCCTAAAAAAATCCCATAGTGCATTTCGACACAACACCGTCCCAGCTCAAAGTCCCAAATACCGTACGTTCTATCTAATTTATCACTAAAAGGATGTAAGGATCATGCAAGACCCATCCCACGACCTTTGTCTTTGCACATAACAGAGGAAAGTTAACGGGTAGTCCTCGAAAGAAATAACTTTTCACTTAATTGTTTTGATAATTCCTCATTCAAAGTTATATGCAGTATTAACATCTGTGGCGATTATTTTAATCAGACGCTTTTTAATCCGGAGGTAACCGTTCTCTCAGGCCTTAAAGGCGATCTGCCAAGAGAACTAAACTGAACGTTTGAAGGTTTAATAAATCGAATTTATCGTGTTGTCCTTACGGTAACTACGCTAGAAGTTTTCCTCGCGCCTATGCCCAACTATCAGTATTGGCAACTTTCTACGCAAGGAATGTTCACCGGTCTTTCCGACATTTGATTCCGCACGATAAATAAAGACCTACCGAGTGAAATCCGACATTTCCATCATCATCATACACATCTTCTTTGCAAGGATGATGATATCGTTTCCGCTCTGGTCCCATTTGGTCAATTCCCTCTCCAGCTTTCTCTTCTCTAACTTCAGTCCTTCTGTCAGCTGCTCAATCTTGGCTTTTTCTTCTGCTGGTAGAGCTCTCATCAGTGACTGTAGAAAATATAGAACAGTTTGAAATTACGAGTAGCTTTCAAATAAGTTCCTAATTTGGTGGTTAATCTGCCACTGGGTAGCAATTGGCTGAAAAAAATAAATCGTGGCACTTTCTCAACCAATCAGAAATGCAAGCATTTTCCTGCGCTTTCTACCAGCCATTGCGGTTTTGCTTTTACACGCACAAGTTGTTCTTGTCATGTAACACAGCTACAAAATAGAAAACATTCTTTCGGAACGAAGCGAGAAATCCCAAGATAGGTCAATCTTGCGCGGGTAGAATTTGCTTTACCTTGCCCGCTCATGGAGCCTGCTGTATGATCAAACAGAGTCATGAAAATGCTGATTGAAATTCATTCGCCATTCAAAACTGGGCAACACATGAAAGTTCCTTTTGCCCGACATCTTAGTAAAAAAGATTCTTATTGGCACTCTTTGAATCTAATGAATCACCCCATCGGAAGAAATGGTCTGACATTTACGCATATGAATGAGCCATTGAAGCGGGCTAATGCGCCAAGAAAGCGGCATAATAACAGAGAAAACGGGCGATTTTGGCACCGCAGAGTGACTAAACTCATCGTATTTCGGTAGTTAAAAAGATGACTTCTTTAACAATTAATATAGAACCGATTCTTTAAGTTTAAGTTGTTCGCCATTTACAATTAACTGCTCTCACAATTACACTTGCAAAGTGTTTAGTTATGACAACTACAAAACATGAAGCATGCGGCCTGCGAGCAAGCTCTCGCGAGAAGTCACGCGAGAGCAGACAGGTCTCTCGCGGCTTGTTTCGCTCGCAGGCTATGAAACATGTAGTATACACTCTACTGACAATTTACCACCATAATAATAAGTTAAACTATACCCGTGCACTTCTCTTGGACATGCTCTTGTCTTTGTCCCAGTCATCAGTGTCATCAAACTCTGACCGAGCTTCGTAATCTGATTGAGCCCCCTCCCATTCATAATCTGATACCGGTTCATATTCGGATTCTGTCGCAGTCATTGCACCTAAAACCACGGAAAAAAGCAATGGCTCGAGAAACTCTCCGACAAGAGAGTGTCGGAGAGAGACAAGCTAGACATGTTACTGACAAATAATTGTTTCTAATTTTAAAAGGAAACGTGCTGGTGGTGAAGCTTTAAAAATTCAATAGCCAATCTTAAACGCTGAAATGATTAATTAAAGTTCATCGATTCTCACTTTCCCGATGGTTACGTCACTATTAATTCGGTAACAAAATGCACTTGAAACGTTTTACCGCTAAAACAACGGAAAGGGGACAAAAGAGCATAAATAAACAGTGTAGGACTGGAAAGCTAATTTTCATAACATTTAATTATCAAAATTTCGGCGGTCCATAGGTACAAAGTGGGCAAAAGCTGACCGGTAAATTAAACTATGCCACATATTTCCGGCTCTGAGCTTTCCAAAGGCTGATTACGGGACCTATCTAAGTCGCAATGGTCACGAAGTCATTCTAGCTTACGTAGCCCTTTAAACAACACACTGTCGTCAATATCAAGACTGGTTAATAACTCACTTATTTCCGCCTCAGCTGATGGACTAGTTATCATCTCCTCGATAACAGCAGGTCCCTTGTATCGTGGTTGGCTGATTGTCTTGGCCCATTTAACTTGCTCAGGACCTGTGTAACCTACAAAGGCCCATGATCCATGGAAGCCCGGGTGGACGTTTCCTGATGCGCCTAAGTCATAAAGGGCCTCTTTGGCATTGTTCACTGATGTGCCTGATAAAGGAGACGTTTAGTGTCAGCTTGTCGTGATTTCTAAGAACACTATCTCAGCGACACAAGGCAGAACATACTTGTATACATTTATTGATAGCTTGCGAGCAAACTCGCGAGTCATGAGAGAGCCCGCGAGCGCTTTTTCCCCGCTTTCGCGCTCTCGTCTCCTTTCGCGTGCCTCTCACGCAAGACTTCTCGCGATGCCCCCAAATGGAGAGGTTGCTCGCAAGATAAATTATTGACAACAACAACAACAACAGTAAAAGCCAGGGCACAAGGTGTCTTAGGCCGATTGGCAATTAGTACGTAATTTGCCAATCTTAAACAATTACGCTGTAAAACACATAGAGTTCCCAGAAAAAAAGCACAAGTAGCTTGTGTGGGCTCCCTGTGCCTAAACCAGTACCCACCAGTAGTCCCCTGAGTACCAATCAGCACTATCCTCTCCTGGGGAAGCTGTTGTAAGAACTTGGCCATTTTCACACCCTCCCCCTTGGTTGAATCTGCTGTGTCAAAGTTAGCGGCCATAATGAAATTTTTGTCGCTGTCCAGGACGACTATGTTGTGTCCTCGCATCATTGGAGATCTCTCGATGCCGTTCACTTTGATTGATGTTCGACCTGTTGCTTTTGGATCATCTTCTCCTTCAGCAACTATATTAACTTTCACTAAACCTGTCAAGAATAGGTACGGTGTATAAGCAACAAGAAGCTTTAGTGTATATCATTTTTGTCAATATTCACCGGCACTTTCCATGCAACTTTCGCCGACGTTTCGCCAACGTCTTAAGTCATTTCGCTACTGCTTGATCAATGGGTTAAAGAACGAGGTATACAAGGTGGCAAGGCTGAAAGAACGACGTATATACATGAGTACGGTTCGTTTCGTTTCGTAAGCGAAACTACTTAAGAAGTTAGCAAACGGGGCGTTAGCGGAACGATCGGTCGCCGCAAAATTGAATGTTTAGTGTTCCAAGCGGTATAGAGTGTTTGGGATTTGACAAGAAAGCTCTTGCTCAACCTAAGGGAAGATCATTCCATTCTTCTACTTTCATGGCAAGAAGAGTTCGCATGCCAAGGACTGGATTTGCCTGAGTGTTACAGGTGCAGGTATCTTCTTGGCTAGAACAACCTTGGGCGGGTTACAAGGGTTTCATCATGGCAGCCAAAGCAGTAAACAGCTTCAATTAATAATTTATATGTTCCTACTATCTACAGTACCATCTGAATATCAATAGCCGTGGAGATTTCGTCACACTTTTCTGAAACTACCGCAGTTCGTGAAGATTGTGATTTAAGTTGACACTGAGCATGCTTCATAACTTTTAAAAGAGCTTCATTATTACTGGGCTAGCGTCTTGCATTTCTGAAACTCCCTCCTCATTGAAAGACTCAAACGGTCATGAGGCATTCAATTTCTTTTCTCCGTTTTCTATTTTCCATCTTCAGGTATTCATCTCCCATTAAGAAAATTCACTGAGAGAAGAATAATCAGTCTTGAACTCGTTATAACGTTGAACATTGAATGCAAGAAACACGTCTGATCTTCAGCAAAATCACTGAACTTTCGAATAATTTCCAAAACGCAGCTCAAGATTCGTACAGATTTTCGGATCTAAAATCATTCAAGACTTTTTCCAGACTCCTTCCAAAACAACAATTTCGTTTTCTCAAGGTTATCAATAGAGACCTTAAAAACGCAGGAACAAAGCTTTTTTCATGATGCACTGCAAACGTACGGGCGGGATTGAATAAGATATGACCAAAATGAAAAAAATTCACTCATAGAGCATTTGTGGTACGTTGCGACGCAGGCAAGGAAAATTGCTGGGTAAGACAATTTCAAAACTTGTTCAAGAAATTATTCGACTCTGTACAAACCCTGGCAGCTGAAATACTACACCGATTCGATTGTTCTTCTAAAAGCAAACCTTTCTGAGCAGCAGGTGTTGGGATGAGCTGAGCAACAATCGCTGGTCCGTAGTATCGAGGCCGTATCTCTGCTTTAGTGTAAAATCTTGGAGTCGGACCAGTACAGCCTGAGAAGGCGAATGAGCCATGGTAACCTGGATCAAACGGTCCCTCAGCTCCCAAACGTTCCAACGCTGGAGCTGCTGCAGCGACATTGTTGCCTAAAACCAATGGACATCATAAGCATGAAAGAGTCTTTTTTATGGAGGGGGTGGGGGTGAGGTTGGGGTTTATAGGCACATAAACATTGGGAGCACTTGCAGGGGTTCAGTGAAAAACAGCTGTTTTCTTGCATTTAATCAAAACCCCTGAAGTTAGTAGCTATAGCCTACATCCAAGACTTTCTCAAAAAATTTTCCGTAAGGGCCAGCGCGATCTTTAATTTCGCGTTTTGCGTCGCAATTGTAAAAAAATCGCGAAATGAAAGACGCGCGAATAAAAATCCATAGAACCCACAGTACAGAAAATTCAAATCCCAGAAAAAAAGATTATCAGGTAATAACTAAAACATATAAAGGATATGATTCTATCGACAAATACCCACACTATTCACTGGGTTTACCATGGTATCTTCCATTCTTATCCTCCGTTGTGAAATAACGTAATTTGCAAAGATTTCACATATGGCGGAGTAGACAATCTTAAAATTAGTATATATATATATAAAAAAAAGTTGCTCTAATGAGGCCTTAAACTGTTGTTTCTTTTAAGAAATAAAAATGAAATCCAAGCTTACGCCAGTCAACAGCTTTTTAGACGTTTTGAAAACTAAAACAAAGTTGATAACACTTGAGTTGCGAAAATTTCATATAGCCCTTTTTTCGTATTTGCCCTTTGAAATCGCGAAAATACAACCCCGCAAATGTTAATTTCTCGCAAAAATCTCGAAATTACGTACCAATATGATAGACAAGTCCAGTGCTGAAACTTGCTTGTCTTGGACACCAGGCTATTTCATAATTTCTTACATCATGGTACATTGTAAGACTATCTCACCTTGCTCTTTGCCATTTACTCCTTGAGTGGCTACAAGAACAACATGATCTTCAGGCAACTGATCAAGGAACTGTCCCAATGCAGGACCTTCTCCAGCATTTGTGTTGAAATTTTTAACAGCACAGACATCACCACTGGGATCAAGAACTACAACATTGTGCCCAACTTTTCTGGGGCAATGCTCTACACCATTCACTTTGATAGATGCCGTGCCCATACCCCCTTCATCTTCACCTCCTTCGGCTCGCACTTCAAATTGTACCTTACCTAAAATAATAATAAAAAAATGAATTACTTTTACAACTTTTGAAAACCATGAAAAGGAGGATATAAATAATTACAGTGGAACCCTGGGAACTCGAATTCTGAAGGGAAACTAAAAACAGTTATCGGGATCGTTTGAATATTCAATTTGCCATGTTAACAATTGATAGTTACTGATTTTTCAGCCCTTCAGTGCAAAGTTAACTAATTTCATCTGAAACAGTAACATGATTATGCCTTTTTTTTAATAAAACGTGATCCGTTCGTTGTACCAATTAAAATCAAATTGATGTATTTATAGTTTTAGTCTTTTTGCCGATCATATAGACTGTGAACAGGCTCTCTGTTTGGGGAAAACGTGAAAAAATCGCGAGGAGAGAGAAGGGAGAAGGCCCTTTTCCTTCCCTCTCCTGGCGATTTTTTCACCCCATCTGACACAAAACAGAGAGCCTGTTTAAAGGCTACCGATCATACAGCAAGAAGAGCTAAAGGGATGGCATCAAAGTGGAGGTGCAAGAAGCAGAATTCGAAGTATCTGGGTACATTTCAGTGAAACTTTTATCAAAAGAAATGAAATTTTACTTCGGGTAAGCGGGGAATTCGAGTTAACCGAGTAAAAATGACTGGAAAGTGGGGTGAAATCCAAGGGAAGCTGGACTTAGTTCGAGTTAGCGGAGAGTTCGGGTTATCCGAGTTTGAGTTATCGGGGGTCTACTGTACTTCAAAACCTTTCAGGGATCATACTCTTACGAGCTTTTCAAATTCCAAGACCCTCAATGACTTTTTCCTTGAACGTTTGCAGTTTTTCATGACCTCAGGTTTAGCTGTCACTTGCAAAAATTTTCAAACTATTCTTATTCTAAAATTTCCTTTTTTAACCTAACTCAGTTCAACACACACAAACTCTGGTGTCCACCAAAACGCGTGCCGTTCGGGCTGTTTAATTACTCATCTCTTTATCACATTGTCCTTACTGTGACATCTGCAATAACTTGTCTACTAAACATAATTTCCAGAACCAAAAATTTAATTCCATGACTTTCCAGACCTAGAAAATGAAATTCTTAAATTCTAAAGCTAAATCTAGGTTTTCTACAAATCCTGTGTGCATTGCATTTTTTTTCTCTAACACTTACCACTAGCCTTGAGTTGTTCATAAGCAGCTTGTTCTCGTGCGCGTGCCTGAGCTTCAGCAAAGAGTTCTGCAGCTGTGTCCTCCAGTTCATACTCTTCGCCCACTCCACCAGTTTCACGGCTCTGAAAGAAAATTTTCGAAAAGTGTTATGAAGAAAACCAACTAGAGTATGTGATTCCAGTGCGACTGGAATAATTATCGATTGATACTCCAGATAGATTCGTGCAGCCTCGAAAAGCCTTCGCTAATTGCGGGCACAAGCTTTGTAAGCTACATTTAATTTGAAATAAACTTGTTGTTGTTTGTTTATTCGTGACATAAGATTTCTCAATAATGTCAATAAAGTCCTTAGTGAATTTATTACAATAAATGAAACGATGTAACTGTATGCATTTTTATGTACTTAGCATAAGTAAGGAAGAGAAACACGCGATTCTGCAATAATAATTTAATTTACAATAGGTACATTACAATTGGGATTTGACTGTACATGTCATTTATGTAAAAATTCTGCCTAATGTAAGGACAGAAGAAAAAAACTTAGGGTGTACAGTGGAACCCCGCTTTACGGACACCCATATAACATTATAATGGGAAGCTTCGTTTGTCCTGACCAAAAGCTTTTATTTTATTTTCTCTAAAATAACCCGCTTAATACGGACACCGGTTAATACGGAAATTTTCCTGTGTCCTGAGTCATAAAGTTCCATATATCATCAATCCTCCTTTACGGACACCGTTAATCTGCGCACTCAGTCTGTAACTGAATATCTTACCAATGAAAACCTAACAGAAATGGTGAATAGTCTTTCAAAGGTTCTAACTAATATCAGTCCACCTGGCTGAGTCGCAATCTACAACCGTCAGCACAATGTTAAGTCAATGTAAAGAAGGGAACCTTTAAGTCTGTCCTGAACCCTTAGCTTTCTGTTAGAAAACACATAGAAACTTCCAACCCTACCCTTCCCATCCCAACTGAAAAGAACTGCTATCCCTTTGTTCCAATTGTCAATTTTCCATACAATCTATTTGTTTCAGTTAGGGAAGTCTCCTTTGATAACAGAAATAAGTGAAAGCAAGTGCCTCTTCCAAGATATCTAAGATGTCTATTAAATACTGATTATTTTTATCACTGCCATTATCTGTACTAGGCATTACAAGATGTTTGCCATAATAGACATTTTAAAGTTTTCTTTTATTGTGGAAAATCAGAATATTTTGAGAAAATGAATTTACAAAAACTCCAATTCTTATTGGAACATATTTTATGCTTAGAAACCCGGCGAACTAAGATTGCATCTACGTACTTAGATCGAACCTTATAACCACATAACTACAGGAAAAACAATATGTACAGCAGGTTGTAAACAAATATGACAAAAAAGCACACTTACTTTCCCAGCTAAAACAGCTTTCCTTATATCTCTGATGCCTTCATACACCTAAAAGGACATTTACAATGTACATATAATGTTTAGCGTACATGTACTTCAAATGCATGGGTGCTAATGCATGGGACGAAGGAGTTGGGTTATATTTACACAAAACATGAGTCAAGAGGTTAAGAAATTTTTACCCACCAGTTTAGAAGCATCAATAAACTGTGCTTCATCAACTTCTCCATGAGGATCTTTGGCGAGCGATGTCACTGACCTCTCCACGTTCTGTGCAAAGTGAGGGATAACTGAAAAGAAGAAACATAATTATAAAACAGTCAGTCCCAAGATAAGGGAAGGTTCATAGACATGACTTCAAAATTTGAGACTCTGCTACAAAAAGTTCAAAAATCCAAGAAAAACATGAGAAATCGAGACTCCTCAAAAGTGCTTCCAGGATTTTGAGATCGAGTGAAAAATTTCAAAAATCCTCAATCACCAAAGGGGTGCCTAGAATGAAGCCCTTAGAGACTTCTGATTGACTGCCAATTAATTTCTAATTTTCCTTGCATGTGCTTGTACCGTAAATTAAAGGGAGAATTGGACTACCTTAAATAATCTAATAGATTCCTTAGGCATCTATTTAATTTTAGGGGTCCATGACTGAGATGGCATTTTAATTAATAGATAGGTGGCCTTTAAAACAGAGAGTCGATTGTTTTCATTTCTGTAATAATCTTTCTTTTAGCGAAATATGAAGAGGCTGATCAGTAGAGATTATCATATCTTAACTTCAAGGTCAGAATCCTCGCTCAAGACTCAAGGTCATTTTGTTGTCTTTGTTAATCTATTCTTACTTTGAAGATGACATTGAGCAAAATACAATGCACATATAACCCTAATGATTTTGCTCCTTTTGGCTAATTCCTAATATTTTTGTGTAAAAGTGATGGGGGGCATCTATCAGATGGGGTGTTTATTAGAGAAGGGTGTCCATTTCAAAATTAACTTCTCACAGAGGGGTCTATTAGAGAGAGAGGACATCTATTGTCAGATAGTATAGGTCAGGAGTCAACCACCCGTAGGAGATAAAGTGGCCAGATGACGAAGCATTCTGATGTTTAAAGTCTTGACGAACTGTAAACTTACTCTCATTGCGCATAACCAAGACTGCTTTCATGACATTATCAGTGTAGGGCCCTTGTTGGTAGTTCTCCATTTCAGCACTCACAACATCTTCAAGTCTGGCTGTACGTCCCCTAATCTGTCCAGCGGTCCTATCAACTGTCTCTGGGTCTCTGTCTTGAAGCGCTTGGACACATTTGTTCACATCTTCCAAAATATGTGCCTCTGATGGAAAATACAATACCGCTCAAAAGTAAGTTAGCAGTTGCATTTTGTTTCCTGCTTGACGAGAATCATGGCAAACTGCATGATTCTCATCAAGCACTATGAGAAACGAGTAGCATGAAAATCAGTGAAGTAGCACTAATAATTATTATTTGGCATAAATTTTATTGATGACCCGTCCTGTGCAAAACCAACTAATTTTGCATAGCATTAGATGAAAGAAAATGGGCATTGAAATTTTCAAAATTTTGAGTTTATTTCGGAAAATTTTCTTTGAGCTTGTCATCAGCAAACTAAATGGAATTTCTGAGTTTTCAGATTTGAAAAAGTGCTTCACATTTGACCTTTCGTTCATAGAAATGTGAAAACCACTTGTAGTTTCCTTGAGTTTGTGAATAAACAAACCATCGTGAGAGGAACAAAATATTCTGGGTTTTTACTCTGTAAAGTAATACATGGTGTTACAGCCGGAAATGGACGTGACACTGTTTATTCAATTTTCAAATGAGACATTTTAGTGACACTTAAATGAAATGATTAAGTGTAAAAACCCGGATGTGAGCACATGGTTTTGTCTTTAGTTTTGTTCGCTTGTACAATTTTGGATGGTCTCCTGTATACGATTGTAAAGCTTATTTGGAAACTAATTGTTCCTACTTTGGTTTTGGTGAATATTTTTTGGTTTCGGGAACACATGGATTGTCGCAAAGTGTTTCTCCACGAAGGAATGGCAGTTCTTTTTCAATCTGTGTAGTTATCATTCACATGTAGCAGCAACGTAAACTAGCTCAAGTGTATTTAGTGAGACTGGGAAACAGTCATTGGGAATGCTTTCTAAAATTCAGAAAATAAACAAAATTCAAAAGGGTAATTGGGTCTCCTTACCCAACAACAAAAATGAAAAACACTTTCTCCACATTTTTTACCCCACCTGTTGTGGCCAGGAATTCATCAATGCTGGTGATGTCATCAACAGCCTCTGTCAGGACTTGTAGCTGTTTTTCCCATGCTTCCTTAAACACATCCATGTTTTCACGGGCCACTTTGCTGTGGGGACGTGCAGCAAGAGTGCGAGCAGCATTGATCACTTGAGGGCAAAGTGTTTGCAGGCGTTTGGCTGCTAATCTCACCATCTTCACCTTCTCGGGGTTTACAGACATTGAACAGGCAAGATTGGCTACCTGGTGAATTTAACAAATCAATTGGTGTAAGTTAATGATGATACTTGAGAAGATGACAGGGCATGAAACAAAAAGAAGACTTGCCTGGTTATTTGCACCACTGTCCGTATCTACTTGGATAAGCGCTGTGGCACTTATTAAATTTTTCATGCATTAAATAAGGTGCTTATCCGACGGCTGTAATTTATAGTTGTATTTGAGGGCTGTGTTTTGTTTGAAAGTTGGACGAAACAAAGAATTGTTTTAACTACAGTATTAATATTTTCCATATTAAACTAAAAGAAGTAACATCTTTTGACATCAATTATATTGGGGCTGAAGGCTTATTCAGGGGAGGGCCTACTAACTTTTTTGGCCCAAATGGGGCTCTTATTGAGGGTGGCACTTAACCGGGGTTGGCACTTACATGGTATTCAAATAAATACCAGACCGGTATTCTATTTATCACCCCTATAAGCTGGTTCAAAATTGCCACACTTATTTAACAAAAGGGTGCTGAATCATTCCAAAGCATTACCCTATGTGTAAATGCATCATCTTCATTTTAGTAGTGCAAAAAAAAAAAAAAAAAAAAAAAATCCAGAACTGGGTTTTTAACCTTCTGACGACTACAAACCACAAACTTACCTCTTCAAGTTTAGCAGCATGATCAATGAACAACTTAGCACATTCCTCTACTTCTCTCTCGTTCCCTGCTTGAGCTGCTTCAATTAACATCAACAATGGCACTGTGGTTTCCAAGAATGAATCTGAAACATGGTCCACAACTGCACGACGCAACTGGAGGAAAGGACATCTCAATGATGTTAAACCACAATTATCAAGATCCTAACTACAACTAAAAAACAATTGTCACTGAATTTCAAATTTCTCTTTCACCTGTCCTCTGAGTTCTCGTGTCCTGTTACACATCCTTTCCAATGCTTGATCTAAAGAGCCGCCAGGAGTGACTTTCTTCTTCCCTGTGGCCTGCAGGAGAGAAGCAAAAAGAAAGAAACTACTCAACATTTGTTCATGCTTTTCCTCTCTTCCTACAATACAGGTAATGGAATCACAGAAACTCTTAAGAAATGAGATAAACAACATGTTTTCACTTCCCTGCCATTAATGTAGGCTGGGCTCATGTCCTTGGGGCCATCAAAGATGTGTTTTGAGTTACATGTAGTTCTTGATTTTTGTTTTTGATTTAAAGAATTAGTCTCCACAGGCATATGTACACTGTACATGAAAAAGAGCCAGGTGTATTGTCTCTAAGGTATATCCCCTCTTCTGTTCAAGACAATCCTAAAAATTCACAACCCCAGGTGGTCTAGGAGATTGAAAAATTAATGCTAAGAGTGCAAAACAATACGAATGATATTTTCACTCACATGATTCATGTACTCTGACAGTAGATCTTGGAGGGCTTGTCGCACCCCATTACAACTAGCAATAATCTTGTCACGTGTGTCATCTCTAGTTGAAATGGAATCTGCTAACTGTGCTGCTCCACTGATAATGCTTTCAAGACGCTGTTCCAAGGTTGGACGGGTGCGTTTCTCTGAATAAGCACTGGGATCCATTGAAATTTGAGACTGAAAAGGTAAAAGTGCCAGTTAAGTCAAAAGAGTTTTATCCCTTTCTACAAATTTTACATGTACTGTGAATAGCATTCTACACTGGTGTCTTACAATGTACGTTGGCACAGGTAGCCCAATGCTGTTGGCAACTTGAAGCCCATATGGCTAAGGATAGGTGAAGTTTTTTACCAAAAGTAACTATCTACATAGCTCAAGTGTCATAGATGAAACTAAACTCTGGTTAAGTCTGCTTGCAAAACAGTGCCAAAATTCTTGTTCTGACACCCCCAATACCTGTGTACCAGCATTTGAGTATGCAACATGATTGGCCCGTTAAAAAAGCCATTGTGGATTTGCCAATCAAGATGAAAGGAAATTGGAAATACATTTCCAGTAATTTGTTGAGTCTGCGGGGTGCCCAGAACAAGGATATTGGCGCTGCTTTACAGAGATTACTAACTGAGGTTAAATTACGTCTGTGACAATGTGCTTTTTTTTCTTCCATTGCATTGAGAGAAATAACCTTTAGTCTAGGGAAAAGTTGCAACAGAAGGAACTTGACATTGGAACAAGAACCTCCATGTTTGAGCTCCAATAACCTTAACACCACATACTTTGTGTCCCACCTAATTTACACATTTGTGACTTCTTTGGAAAAACGTACACTAACGATATTCCGTTGAATGGTCCAGACCGTTAGCTATCCCAAAAATCAATGAAAACCATTAGAGGAGTTAGTCAACTCATGCGTATCCTTTAATGGGATAACAGCAAACGAACTGTGTTTTCCTGGGCAGCTCTTCTTTTATTCTTACTTACATCAAAATCATCTAAAGCTGTGGCCAGTGCTCCTGGAGCCTCCAACGGGTGTGGTCCACTTGTACCAGTGGCCTGGGTAGCACCTGAGATGGCATTCACAGCTTCTGACATCTGCTTCATCACAAAGTCTCTGTTGGCCTTTGCTGAGGCAACTTCAGGGTGACGTACATAGGCCTGAAAACAAACAAACAAGAAGTGTGATGTTTACAAGCACAGTTAACATTTTTCCCTTAAGGGATAGTCTCCCAAAAAGTATTTTGATGGGCTAAATATCATTTAGGCAAAGTTAAGCTCAAGCCAGTGCAGTCAGTGGTCTTCGCCATCCACAGTACATGACCTGCAGAGTAGCCCTCAGGGGTTGGTAGGGTTTCAAGTTTCATCACTTTACGTGTGCAGAAGTGATTTTGTTACAATTTGCTATAGTGAGATCTCATGAAAAATCGTGAGTCCCAGCTCAAACCCCAATGAATCCTTCCTACATTAAAAGATGCCAGAACTCTCATGAAACCAGACAATCACGTTTAATCTGTAGTCTACTTTCAATAGCAATGCACTTATCTCTGTAATAATATTATCTATCAGTCAAATTCAGCTGTGCCCACACCCCCCCTCCCCCCTCACGAAATGAAATCATACAAACGGGGCATTCTTCAAAAACAACTTTTTAGATTGATCAGCGCAAGCCTTCAATAATTCTACATCCTTGACAAGTTTTATGCATCAAGGACGCAGGATGCAGGGCTGGCAAAATCACTGGTGAAGTGTTATCAGCTGATCTTTGCGGATCAAAAAACACAGCTAGCTGGCGGATCATTTGGATTCATTTTGATGAGTTTAAGGTCTCGGTAAATGAAAATTTTAGTACATTGCTCGATTTTTTTTTATTTTTATTTTTGGCATGAGTGGGTCCTAAATTTTATTTTGGCAGGAAAAGAAAATCAGAAAGTGCTTTTTAACCCTTCTTTTTAACCCTTCTAAAATGAGCCTTTCTCTCACTATATTTTAGACGCAAAAATCAAAATTCTTCGACCTCCAGTCGGGACAGGTTTTAAGCTATCGCTTTGAAACTTTCAGATATGATGGATAATGATATAGACTCAAGAAGGGTGTGAGGAATTTTCCGATTTCCCTTTGTAACTCATTTTATGTCAGTTTCTTGGCGTAAATCGCGCTCGAGATTCGACTTTTTAGTTTGAAATGCAATAATTCCGCTAATACGAGACATATGCAAATTTCCTCACACGCTTTTTTAGGTCTTTCATCTGTCAATCAGATGCAATAAAAAGGAAGTGAATATTTAGCAACGCGAAAGGGCTGGAGCTTCAGCAGTAAACTCGATACCTCTGAGTTCGAGAGCAAAAAACTTAAGCGCCTTTTGAAATTCGATGAAATAAAATCTTTTATAAGGTAATTTAGTCTTTTAGCTTTAATTTAATATATAACTTGCCTTTGTAGCGAAAATACTCGCGCGACTAGAATTTTTTTCTGTGGGCACCTCGTTTTCCTTTACCGAGACCTTAAGCAACCCTATGAGATTCCTGTGCCCATGAGCATTACATTCTTGGGCAAATCCTAAGATTCTCTTATAATTTGTTACCCAAGCACAACCCCTGCTCTGACTAAACTATTGCCAAGGGTAAAGAGTTTGAATCTAACTGAATTGACCTTGGATGAGGACAGCAGCATTTTACTTGATTCCTTTAGTGTAGCTCTTGCAGCTGCCATATCATCCTTTCTCTGTGGGTCTTTCAAATCCTGAAATTTTAGTTACAATGTCAGTTGATATCAATTCAAGGAGTCTTGGCTACACCATAGTGGAATTTTCTGGAAGGTTACAAAAAACTGTACTAAAAAATGTAAAGGCAAGGCTCGTATGAGCCAGATTAAATTCTTTGAAACGATACAAGCACACTGTACATTGTAAAGGGTTCATACAGATTTTTTGCTCTCTAGAGAATGCAAATTCTTTTCTACAATTTGGAGCATTAGGGCACAAATAAAAGACATAAATACTGAAAGCTTTGTTAAAAACATATTGGTCAAAAAAACTGTAGATTATTATTATAGTTATTAATTATTTTATTGCATGATTGGACTCACTGCTTGTCTTTTTCCAGACAGCTTGGCTAAGTCCATCAAGTCATTTCCAAGATTTTTAAAAGAATTCAGCAGATCTGCAGTGTTACTAGCTTTCTCAAGTTCCTTCAGTCTTTTCTCCACCTGCAAAATTGCAGAAGTACATTGTGCACTGAAGTATATAATACTGTATTTGTATAGGTAATAGCATGATTTGAAGTGATATTTGGCATAAATACCACGAGTGATATTTCGAAATTTGTTATACGTAATTTCATGAGCCATGAGGAGAGTGAAATTTGAGACAGGTTTGAAATATTGCGAGTGGTTTTTGTGCCAAATATCACGTACAAATCATGCTATTATTTGTTTATACTACTACTCGCACAAAGTTTGTAATTTTCACATGTAGGTATTTCAAATTAAGCTGAAATACCACTGCTCCTAGCCAATCAAAATCCAGAATTTTCTCTTGTATATGTTACAGCTCAAAATTATATAATTTTCAGATCAAAATGTTTTGACCTACATTGATTCTCAATTTCCTTTGTCTCCTAGTCCTGATTCATGAATAATTAGGGCTAGAAGACAAAGGAAATAGAGAATCAACCTAGGTTTAAAAACTTTGACCTGAAACATGTACACAAGTGTTAAGTAGTTTGACAGTGATGAATACACAGTGAAAAAGACAAACTGACCAGTTTAAGTGATGCCAGGAGCCGGTATACATCAGCCATATCTGCAACACATAGCAGCCTTGTCACAGAGGATAACAAGGCTCGAGCTGCCCTCACCATGGTGGCTCTCTTGGTTGAAGTACAAGGATCATCGGCAAACTCTTTAGCTGCTACACGCATTGAGTCACCTACAAGAAAGACAAAAATACATTACTAGCTTCTTTACACAATTTGATGAGAATTTTACATATATCATGACAAAAAAACTATGATCAATGCTCTATCTTTTGTCTCTGTTGGTAATAATTTTGCCCAAGCCCAGTTCTTCTAATCTTCCAAGCATTTAATCCTTTTTCCATAAGGTTTTAGTGAGGGGTGTTAGATCATGAAAACCTTGAGAAGTGATCTAGTGTTAACATTATTTTGAGAGGTGTTGGAAGGATGTAGAAAAAACAACAACAAATCCTTTACCTGCCCCTCTGCAGTCCTTGCATGCAGCTAGCATTTCTTCCCTGATTTCAGCAAACTCTTGAGCGATGTCTTCCCCTGTTTTGATAAGTCGCACATTTGCATCTTCAATATCCTGTGCAAGTTTGTGTGCATTTTTGGATTTCCCGAGCTTACTACCTTTTTTCTTGGGATGATTTACTAAAGTTGTTACCTGAAATACAGTGAAAATATAATCAGATGTCAACAAGATTGATTATACTATATGCAGGAGTAAAACAACAAAGTATTTACCTACTCAATAATCTATAATTACCACTAAAATGTTTAATGAGCAATGCAAGAATGAAGTCAGAACCAGTTCCTAACAGTGTATAAACATGGCCGCAAAGCAGGCACTCCATGTAACATGCACTTGTGTGTGTGATATTGTTGACAAAAAATTTTGTTTTTAAATTGGATTTTGATTTGTTAGTAATACTTTAAAATAAATTTTCATTTTCCTAGAATCTCATATAAAAAGGCATCAAAAAATGTTATTACAGTATTTTTTCAAAAAGTTTCTCTGTTTCTGATTAGCTCAAATCCCCCTGAGCTAATTCTTTATAACCAGTTAGCATTGACCATAACTTTAGAAGAAGTTTGTCGACATCAATACAATCCAGAAAGAGAGATGTATGGAGCCTTGGCTCAGCTGTTTAGGCATAGCAGAAATAGAGAAAATGGCACAAGGACTTCTCACCAATAACTATTTTGTTACAAATAATTATGGTGAGTAGTCCTGGGACTCATCTTGCATGTGAACTAATAATGAGTCCCACTTAAAAAAAAAAAAAAATCCTAAATTGAAAATTAATCATGCTCGGGCCTTTATGTGACCAGACAGATAAAATAAATTTTTTTGTAAAGCACAACAAAGACTAAAAGAAATATGCATCTTTAAAAAACAGCCACAAGGACAGCCACAGAAATCACATGAACATGACATTCTACAAAAACATCTTCAGATCAATCAATCGTTTTTTGCATCTTGCGGGATGCGTGTCACAAACTTTTGGGTGTCTTTGGGGATTAGTATGCGTCAGGGACGGGGGATGCAGAGATAACAAATCACTGTGTATAAATTGAAAGAAAAAATAGCCAAGCCACTTGCACCTCAAAAACATAGCAAGAACAGACAACTATATCATTGGACAGATAATGATTCCTATTTAAACAATAACTGGAGAATAAACATCTCTTTATCAGCATCAAGCAAATGCTTTGAAGATGGGAACTTCACATACAGTGTAGAGGTTAAAAGCATGTTGAAAATATTTTGAATGAACAAAAAAACAATATTGAATTCTGCTTTTGTATAGTATAAAGAATTATGCACTTCTTGGATGCTGTTATCTGCCTCTGCCTTTGGCCTCAGCAAATATCACTTTCCTAAATCTGCATAATTCTTCATATCATACTTGGCATGGTGCAATAATTTTTAATTAAAGTTGCATGTATGCAGGGTGCAAGGCTAAAAGTGAGTACCTGTATAGGTGGTTTTCACGTTATGTCATCGCCGCCATGCTGGTGGACGGTAAACAAAAGATCGCTCATTAGCGCGCTTTGTTTGTCCACCAGCATTTGTTCATTTCACCATTGTTATTTGCGTCTCCCGAGACTGCATGAAAACCACCTATGCATTGTTGGCCGCATCGTTTTCCCCCCAAATCTCCAACTGAAGTATTCAGGTAAGTTGCCTCAAAAATTGGCAACAGACACCCTTCAACATGATATTTGCAATGCCTGACGGGTGCAAGACTTAACTAATACACAAGGCTGTGCTCTAAGGCCCAGTGCTCTGAAACTGTAAAATCTAGGGTGCCCAGCATATGATTTGTATGAAAAATCTGAGATTTTCTAGTACCGGGCTCTGCTAGAGCACAGCCCTGAATACAGCGTACAAAAGTATACATTTTCCCGCCGTTTAAAAAAGTTACAAACAGTCACAATAAAGGCTTGAAAACGGAATTTTCATAAATCTCATCAGACATTGCTACGTACCCCATACGGAATCTTATGTTTTTATAATTATGGGAACGAAAGGTAAAGTCACACTTGAATAAGCCTTTTATGACCGCAAAATCATTGAGGTTGGGCAAAAATAATTCCCACAGAAAGCAAGAGTAACATTCTCATAAAGTTCTGTTCTTGCCAATTTGAAAAGATCCTCTTAAATTGCTCTTTATTGAGCTAATTCGAAAGCTCTCGAGGGGTCGCGCCCTCCAGCAAATGGCGCAAATGCTTTATAAATTTGTGTGCAACGAGACACCGGTTGTTATAACTCTCTTATAAACAGCTTATCAAACGTTTACAGCTTACATTTTCGGCATAAACAAAATCTGGCGATCGTGAAAAGGCGAAACAGTAAAGCAAAAATTTCCTTTGACTGTCATTAAATTGTAGACAATGTCAATTTATTGATAAAACGCCGTAATCGTAAAATGTGTTAAAGTCAACCATCACAAGCTTAAGGGACGAATTTTCAAGGCCAACGCTCTCCATTTGTCACTTGAAATATATCTGCGCACAGGATGGTGTTTTCGATGGAAAATGCTTACTTGGACGGACTTCACGGCGCATTGCAAAAGAAAATTTAGCTGTAACTGTTGTTTTCACGAATAATTTATACCTCGTTTAGTTAAAAAATCTCATGCCGCGATATATATACAGAGTATACGAGTAGCGATAGCGGCTGATCGAACATAAAGATCCAGCAGTTTTCCTCCACAAACAACCACAATTTAACAAACAACCTCTTGCCTGAGTCATATCGTAAAATCATGCCGAATCAGTGCTGGGTTGTTAGGAATTATCTGACATAAACAACATTGAGAATTTAAGCTTACTTGATGAACAAGAGGTTCGAGCGTTTTCTCCACCGAATGCGTGCGGATTTCTAAGGTTTTGGGATCCCATTTCATCTGGTGCTTTTCCACCTTAATGTCGCCACTTAATGTCGTTGTTCCTCGACTCATCGTGCCAAAATTCAGTCCTCTAACAAGAACAGCACACGACAACTCTCACCAGAAACTTGGCAATGTGCTGAAAATATTTCTCTCCAAGCGACAAACGGAAATTGTCGCTTATTTTCGTCACGTGACTAGCCCTCGTCGACTTCTCTGGAATGCGACGCCCTCCCAGTCTTGGCCAATCGCAATGTTCTTTGAAAGTAGTTTTGAGAAATTTAGTTTGAGATATTTTTGCGGAATCACAATTTTGTGTAGAATTTACTTGTATTTTTAACCGTTCCTAGCTAATAGAGAAAGGGGGGAATGTAGACATTTCAGTGATCACACTCGCCATAGAATAAAACCCGGCCGTAAATTTTACGGCGTCCCTCTCACGGTCTGTCCCTACGGATCTCATTTAGTAGCGGTTTAAAAACAGAAAAAAATATCAATAAGTAAAAATATACTAATCTTGGAAAACAGATCATTACACTAAAATTAATTCTACATTACAATTTAATAAAAAAATCTCGATTTCTCCCCGGAGAGAAAAAACACAATTTCTACCATAATATTTGAATGCAATGTCTTTTCCACAATAAGTGGAAAAAACAAATCTAACCACATTGAAACAAAGAAAACAAAAATTTCTGGTCCGTGAGAGGCTCGAACTCTCGACCTCGGCGTAGCCGTTGGATCCTAGATCCAGGTGTATCAGCACCGCGCTCTGCCGACTGAGCTAACGGACCAGCTGCTGATATAGGGAGTGAAAATTTGGTATTTTTAGCAAACTAACAATGCTTGATTCCATATATGGTCAGCATGACATTTCTCACGGTTGTTTCATCACGAGACCTTCAGTCTCGAATGGCCGCCATCTTTGCCAGGTGTTGTTATGTATACGTGTTTACGTTTTGTCTTTTAGCGGCTAACAAGTTCGTTACCTTCGTAGAATGTGAGGGGCGCCTGACCGGTATAAGTCCCGTCGATAGTTCAGGTGCGATCAAGGATGGTGCTGTTGAAATAAAAGCCGGAACTTCGACGTTGTTGAGGTTCTATGGTGTTGAGATTTCGCGGGATTCACGCATTGCGTTTACTTCCACCGCGGGAAAATTTAACTCTGTTTGCGATGGTGATCGCACATCTCCTGTATATTTCAAGCAAAATGACTTTCAGGACTACAAAGCAGAAGGTGAAGTAATCTTGCCAGCTGGAGGACCTTATTACGTCTGTCTAGAGGCAGGGAATCGAAGTCAAATATGGAGACACCAAGGCGATACAGACAAGCTGCTTCAGATTTATACTACTACCAGTACAACATTACCTACATGGTTGCAAATAGTATTCATCGTGATTCTAATGTGCTTATCAGGCTTGTTTTCAGGGCTCAACCTCGGCTTAATGGCACTAGATCCAACCGAGCTTAAAATTGTTATGAACTGTGGCAATACAAGCGAGCAAGGTTACGCCAAAGTCATCGAACCGATTCGAAGACACGGTAATTATCTCTTATGTACGCTGCTTCTTGGCAATGTTTTAGTGAATACTTCGTTTACAGTTCTCTTAGACGGCATAATTGGTGATGGAATCGCTGCGGTGCTTGGTTCCACGGCTGGTATTGTAATATTTGGTGAGATAATTCCCCAGAGCCTTTGTTCAAGACATGGTTTGGCTGTTGGGGCTAGGACCATCTGGATCACGAGATTTTTCATGCTAGTGACGTTTCCTATCTCCTTTCCAATAAGCAGGATCTTGGATTGGATACTAGGGGACGAGATTGGTACAGTGTATAATAGGAAACAACTCCAGGAGATGCTGAAAGTCACTGCAGAGTTTAATGACTTGGAAGGTGATGAAATGAATATCATTTCAGGGGTGCTCAACTACAAAAGTAAAACTGTGGAAGAGGTGATGACGAAGCTGGAAGATTGTTACCTGCTGGACTTGTCATCGGTCCTTGATTTTAGAACTATTGCAAGTATTATGCAATCAGGACATAGTAGGATTCCGGTCTATGATGGTGAAAGACATAACATTGTGGGTTTGCTTCTTGTAAAGGATTTGGCTTTCATTGATACAGATGACTGCACTCCCTTGAGGACAGTTATAAAATTTTACAATCATCAGGTGCAGCGAGTTTATGATGATGTTCATTTGGATGCAATGTTAGAAGACTTTAAAAAGGGGCATTCACATTTAGCAGTGGTGCAGCGCGTTAACAGTGAGGGAAGTGGCGACCCTTTCTATGAAGCTATTGGCATTGTTACTTTGGAGGACATCCTAGAAGAAATAATCCAGTCTGAAATAGTCGATGAGACTGACATCTATTGTAAGTATAGTCTGGAATTATCATCATCATGAAAGTAATAGTTATATGAACAACATCAGTATTTTAGTTTTGGATAGTGTGTGTGTGTTTCATAGTGATGTGACAAAACCATAGTCTATAGGATGCATCTTAAGACTGACTGAAAGTGTAAATTAGAAAAAAAGTGAGGATGGTACATGGTCTATTTTACCTCTATTCTACTATCATGCTGAAGTGAAATGAGTTGCAAAAAGTCCTTTACACTGTATGTGAGGGAATATCCTTATATTAAATGCTGCATTCTTTTGTGCTGCTGTATATTGTGACTTCTTTCACTCCAGTTTAACTTTGTTGATGAATAGAGGTTAAAAAGTGTCATCTTTTTTTATCTACACTTTTCTTAGTAACCATTTTTCTTAAATCAGTTTTTCTTTAATCTATTCAAAAAGAACACCAGATATGCACATCATCTATTTTGTTAAAATAAAATGTTGAAAATTTGCCTGTGCAAATACCTTAATGTGGTTACAAAGATGCAGTGCATTTTTAGAGTTTGTCTGCTTAAATGCTTTTTACTCTCAGCACATGAAGTCTGTGGAAAACCACATTGTGCCTTATTTTAAATAATTCAGTAACTGGAGGTCCTGTGTGCTTCTTGAGATGAATAATAGATATTAGAAAATGGAAGGAGATAGAGAGATATTAATTTACAAACACCGTTAAGTGGCCTTGAATGACGTGCTACTATTGTTTTCATACAGAAGCACAATCTTGTTCAGTTTTCTGGCATACAGTACACTTCTTTTGTATCTGTTTAGGTTTTTAATATATATTGTCAGTTGGCTTGTGACATCCACTTTGTTGTTTGTGCTGCATACTTTTATGACATCTTTAAGATTTTACATAGAGTCATGTAGGTAAAACAAGTTCATGGATTTCTTCAATATTATAATGTATGGTATAATATCACAACAGAATGCTTTTTATTTATCATCTTCCCAAATGCTACCCCCTCATACAGATTTTAAATTTAAAAATTTATGTAAAATTTCATTCACTGGAACAGCTTAATGTTTCCAGTATTTTCTGTTCTATTATTCTGATATTTTGTCTCTTTAGAAGTTACAATGTTGAAGTAAAGGCAACACCTGCTTTTTCATGTCAACTGTAAAATTATTTAGTTTTCTTAGATGAAGTAGTGATGTTTTGAGGGGCCATTATTATTAATAACTTCATATTTGAGTGGGCACACAGTCCAATTCCATTACTGTCAACAAATAATTTATTGTTTTATTACCCTACAAGCACTTACTATTGATATTACAGGAAGTACATGTCTTATTACACACATTATACTCAAGTTGCTGCTTAAGCTATTAATTTATTGTGCGGTTATATACGTATTTATTAATTCTTTTGATTGAAAAGGTTTAAATAATATTGTTTTTGAAAGGCGTCCATACCAAGTTACATTACTAAATGATAATTCAAAGATAAAGCTGTTTTCCTTTCTTGTTGTTTCATAGCTGATGTCAAGCTTTATGCAAAACAAACTTTGCTTCTAGTTATAAATGTGGTGTAAGCAAAAATGTTGTATCCTGAAATTGGTTTTTCTTCTGTTCTGTGGTTATTTCATGTTCTCAGAAAGAACTGTGGCTTTCCTTGTCAGTGTGATAGAAGCAGTTGCAGGGCTCAAAATGATGGCCAGAAAACAGACAATGTCCAGCCAAGATGACCAAATGTTTAGTTGACCGGTCATTTTGGCTGGTCAAGTGCACGGCTTTAAAATACATGTAAATAATTGGGAAAAAATATATTCACGTCATATCTGTAAATCACAAAAACAGTTAAATGGTGAGGTATTTGAGCTGCTTTTAGTTATGAATTCAGAGAATCCAGATGAGACGCCATCTGACAGTTTAGTTCTGCAGCTTTTTGAACGCCAATTAACGGTTTATAATTGCCTGTTTTCAGCATTTTGACCGGTCAGAAAGGAGCCATGACTGAACTCAAACTTGTTTGGCCAGTCATCATGTCCAGCCATTGATCAAAAATTATTTTGGGCTTTGAGTTGTAAAATGCTTAGAATACCATGTACATTTTCCTTGCAGTGGACAACAAGTCAGGAAAAGTTATACCAGGCCGCAAGACATTAATGAGGGAACTGTCATTGTTCTCTGAAGAGGAAGACAAGCCAAAAGTCTCACCTCAGCTGCAGCTTGCAATATTGCAGTATCTTAACACAGGTGAGCAGACTCATCTGCAGTTGTACAGCTACCTCTTTTACATGTTGATTATAAAAAACCGTGTGGCAAAAATTGTTCCCACTTATACCTTTTCTGGTGTACTCTGACGCTTTCACCTTGATTGATGTCGTCTACCCTAACAAGGATCAAGGAGTATACAATATCCAGGGTTTTGCGTGAATACTTGAGATGTTCCCTGAATTGGACTCCAAAACGTCCTGCTGTCTCCCTGATGTAAAACTCATCACAACCCTCACATTTTTGTCTCCCCACTAAAACATGACCATGTTCAGTTTACAATGTGTAGTTCCAGAAAGGATCCATACTCCTCCACAGAAGGGATTGGAAATTCCTGGGGGTTGGGGGGTTCTCAAAGGCCCAAAAATTTAAGCAAATGTATGAAGCCTGACTGAAATTTCCAGAGAGGTGGGGGAATCTAAGGAAAAATCCCTTCCATGGGGGAGGTATGGATAATTTTTGGAACCACACAATGTATTTGATGTCAGCGATGTTCATCATCTAAAAATCTTCTTTCTATTCCGCATTTTAATTTGAGAACATACGGTGCAAGATATTTCTCCGTGGCCGCCCCCACCCTCTAGAATACTCTGCCATCTGACATTAAGAACAGCTCCTCCTCTTTTTGTAACTTTTTAGCCATATTTATTTTAGTCTTAAGATTTAAAGCTTTTTCATAACTTTTTTTACTGTTTTATTGCTCTTGTTAAACGCTTTTGAACTTCAAGGATACTGGCACTATATAAACATTTTGCTCTTCTTCTTCTTCTTATTTTTCTTTAATAAAATAATAAAACAAAATATTTATAGCCTGCATGGCAGGTGTTAAAAGGGGAAGGGGGAATTTGGTCTGGCGCCCTAATTCCCTTTCCCTTCCCTTTCATATGCCTGCCACGCAGGCTAAATATTTAGGACACGACTTCCAGTGAACAATTGAAATAATCACCTTCCCTTCAATAATCCCCCCCTTTTTCGAGGAAATACGATACCTACAGTGAAATCATTCAACCTAATGTCTTTTTAACAGCCTTTGATGCATTCAGCGAGGATGTCATCTCGCTCAATGTCCTCAAACGTTTAATAAACCAACCGCGTGTTATCCTTGAACTCAAGCTCCAAGATGCTGATGACAATGGAAGTCAAAAGTACCTGTACAGGAACGGTGTGGCCACAGACTTCTTCACCTTAATCATTCAGGGCAAAGTTGAAGTCACAGTTGGTCAAGAGCAGTTGACGTTTGAGGAGGGGCCTTTTACAAGCTTTGGTACTAACGCATTAGTGGCATCACTCGGTGGATCCAGTTTCAACTTGAAAGGAAATCTCCAGTATATCCCTGACTACACAGTGCGTGTAGTCACCGACATCATGTATCTAAAAATTCCCAGAAGTCTGTACAAGCAAGCAGTGCGTGCTACCTTGCTTGAACGTGAGCAGGAAGGTAAGAGCACTGATGGCATTGTTTCCGAGATTGGACAGGAACGGGAGTTCCCTGTCGTGACAGCCAATGGTCCATCACGTAAAACAGGTGTTTTTCATGAGACAACTTGTTAGTATTAAATTAGGTTCGTTTTGAATTTGATAACAATAAAAAGAACTTGATATTTAGGGACGTGCATTCACAAAATGATACAAAGTAGACTGAATGTTTACAACATTCAAAAGCAAATTTGTATGTTTATATTTTTTAATTTCATATAGAGTGAAATATTAGTTCTGTTTTGTTTAGTAAATGTTGCCACAAGGAAGATGAATATTATCATTGAACAAGATGGCCTAATAATTAACTGTGTGACATCTCTATGTGATTGATAATATCATAATATTATTAATCTGTTGGTGAAGAATGCGTTACTTGTAATTTGACAAAATTCAATATTTAAAGTGTACAATAGAAACTTTTCAAATCGAGAAATTATATATTGAAGTTTGAAAACATGACAACAAATATTCAGCTAATAGCAAGTTCAAATTATGAGTACAAGATGTACCATGTTAGTTAATCCCTGATTGTTTACCAGGGTTTTAAGTAATACAAATTGTAAAAAAAACGTCGGTATTAAAATTTAATGAGAGATTAAAAAGCGTGTCATGTGCTTTCACTTTTTCATAAACGATTGAGTGTGTGATAGTGAGAGGAAGGTGCTGGGGGGAGGGGGAAGGTTTAATTTCCCTATGACGAAAGGGAACATTCAGCAAAATAGCCGGCTAAAATGAAGCAAAAAGTTTCGGAAAATTGTGTCTCCTCATTACCAGCTCAAGACTACAGTGTCCCCCATTAGCTTTTAGCTAACAACATAGACACTTAAAATAAAGTGTTCATTCATTCATTCATTCAGTTAGAAAGGAGCTAGTTACAATGTGGGAAGGAAGGACCAACGTTCCCATTCCAATCACTACTTTTGGAATAGAGATAAGGGAAGAACTTAGTCTTGGAACCGACGCTAACTAAGCTAAATGGAAATTGACTTTGATTGAGGTCTGATATAGACCTCGGTGTAGGTATTGCTTCCCTGAAAAGCGCGGAATGTAACTCTTGACGACGTCACCTGTGAAGGTGGCACTATGCCAATGCAACATCGGCCCGATGGTGGAGCGCGGCGAAAATGCAGCGAGCGAAGAAAAGAGGGAGATTGGGAGAGCTGGGACAAAACACTTCCCAGAATATTCACCGCCTCGTCGCTTTAAACCACTGAAACCCGGCCTCCTCCCTCCCAACTCAAATTGTAAAACAGTTAACATTCACACGATTAATTGCTTTGCACAGTTTCTAACAATTTCTATATAATGCCAGAATCCAAAACAGTTGGAAGGATAATGTTCATGGGAAGCTCGATCTTTCTTCGGGGGAGGATCACGGGCTCATATCCCGTACAGCGGCTGGTAATCGAGCCTTGTGTATCTGTATGGAACGTGTTTTGGATTCTACGACGCGTTTTGGAGTCTGGACATTGCTTTTGGATCCTGAAAAACGTTTTGTCCCTACGAGCCATCGTATTATCTTCCTCTCTTTTTTTCCCTCCTTTTTGTTGTTGTTGTTGTTGTTTTCGCTCGCTTTATTTTCTCTCTCTAAAGGCCTGCCTGGGATAGATCGGGCTAATGCACCATTTCAGACCCTTGCACGTGGACTCAATAAGTTGAACATAAATCTGCAAACCTGATCGTACTAAGTTTGTCTGCGTGGGAGGTTACGTAAAAAATATCTTTGCAAGCGATAAACACGACGCTAGTAGGACCCAAACAGCCCCCCGACAAACTTGACAGGTGACGTCACCTCCGAAATCGCCGAGGACGACTCGGAACGAGGCTGGGACCCAAACAGAGTGGGGTTGTAACCGTCCACAGCTGTTCGGCACCCGGTATTGTGGCTCATCAGTACGGCGTAACAGAGACTCCTGGAGAAAATACCCATACGCTCTGTTAAACGCTTTAAAGCCTGAGCTCCGTTTTTGAGAATGTTGAGTACACGCTAAGCCAGGAAAACTATAACACTTGTGATTATGCCCTCGCTTCAGTCGCGGGAGGTAATTTTTCGCCCATAACTTTTTCTTTGGCTTGACTTGTCCACCAAGATCCATTAATCAAGCACAAAGTCATTACACAGATAAATAGCAGTGATTTCTCGTATCGGTTTATTGCTTTTCTTGACTTGGAGCATAAAACATTACCTATTTACAATATAAAAGTTAATCAGACTAGCATTAATAAATTAAGCAAGTTCTAATAATTATGCGTGATGGCTTGGATGTACGTGGTTTTCTGAGCAATTTTTGTCTGCCCTTATCTTGTCTGAAAAAAAAAAAATTCATTTGAGTTTGTTGTGTTCTTTCTGTCAGTACGATGAATTCTTAACGAACGAACGTTCTGTGTTATTAATTTGCTCATGCAAGGGTAGGAAATCAGTTTAACTGCAAAAATTTCGAGTAACAAAGGAGTTCATGATTTCTAATATCTAAAGCTTTCTTTGCCAGGCTCTCTCCTCCACAGCAGAGGCCTCTTTAGGGAGCTTAAGCAACAACGACGGCGAAGTGTTCGCGCTTCTTTAAACTTATCGCGCTTATTCCATATCGTTCTATTCATCCGATGTTGGCGAATATTTCTGGAGTTGAATTCTAAAAGACTGTATTAAAATTCAGGAAAAGAAAAAGCGGGTGGTTGCTTGTGTTCAGGTCATCCGCAAAACTTGAAATTACTAACAGTTTCATGATGTAGTCGTGCAACGACGGCAAAGAAATGTTAAAAAAAGTGAAGATGAACGAGCAAAGTTGTTGTTTTGTCAATCTAACCCTATTGCTTTCTTGCCGTCCTCGTTGCCGTCGCCGTCTTCGTTGCTTAAGCTCCCCTATTAAGCGCGCGTTTCAGGAGCCTGAGTCTCCCACAGGCTCGTGATTATTACTATTTTTATTGGGATACTGCTGAGGAGAGAGTCCTTTGCCTACTAGCCGGGAACGGGGGCGGGAATGGGGCCGTCACACGAGGACCTCGTGCGACACAGAACCCTCCTGCAAAGGTGGAAAGGAGGCTCTTGACAAGAGAATAGTTATAGATGGGAAAAATGATAATTCAGGTTCTCACCGTGTGGGTCTCGATTTAAGACAATATGTTTTCGCGAAAACCAGCGTTGCTTATCTCCTGATGCGTACTTTCTCGAAAGTTTTGCGCTGTGGAAAGGACACCTCTCGGCTACTCTGGCTGAAACCTGCGAGAAAATAATCTTCTTGCCCACCTTTGTGAATTTTATACTAATATTTTACTTCAAATCGACACTGTAACTGATTAAATCCTGTACAATTACGTCATTGGTGTTCAAGAGTATTGCGCACGTTTGATACATCAAAATTCGAACATGACTCCCAGGCTTTATGGACAAAATTACAAATTTTTCACGACTTCAGAACAATTCCCAGAAGAGACTTCAGCACCAAACCAAACCAATCATAGATATGTGACCAGAGAGACTCGGAGTCATGTTAGAATTTTAATATATCGTAAATGGGCTATCAAAGAGGGAATGTTTGAATTTACGCGCCGCTTAGTTTCGTTCCCAGTCCTAATCTGGATCCAAAATTTGAAAACGCGTGTGAATGTTCGGTCATTGCTTTTTAAAAAAATTCTTTGGTACTACCACACAAATTATTAGACCGCCCATGGTCCTTTGTATGCGTTTGTTCGGGAGCCTATTTCTGGTACTCAGTTTATCATTGTTCTCAATAACCAAGGTTTTTTCTCCCTCGTTTTTGGAAGGCGTCTCATTTCTACATTAGCAGCTGTTGTCCCGTGAAGTTCTATGCCCGCAGAAAAGGCGCTATTTTTCGGCGTTTTCGCGAGCATGAAGCGGAAGTGGATCGTGAGACACGCGCGACGGAGGACGACGCTTGCCTGAAAAACGCGAAAAAAATAGCGCCTGTTCTGAGGGCTACTATGAAGTTCCTGTTTCCACAACGCTCTCATTTTCTGAGCGGGTCATGAAAATTTATAGCCATTTTAAGCTATGGTTTCGTTGTTGAGGTAGCCAGTAAGAATCACTTGACCGTTTGTTTCCTGCGCAAGCGTGTAGCTACTTGATCGTTTGGTGCGCGCGAGCGTAACGTTGTTGTCATCACTTCCTGACAAAGAGCTTTCCTTTACGATTGACGCAAAATTTCCAGTCACCACTGCGCCAGCTTTGGAAGGTTGAGACAAGTTATTTATGTGCTTTTTTCCACAAGAAAGCACGATTTTAGTGAAAGCTTGCCTAAAATCTCTATTTCGATGCGTGTATATGACCGGGTTAACCATTGAACCGCTGTAATGCATCCACTTGGTAAGGGGGACGATAATGGAGAAGTTTATTTCACATGTCCTGCAAGTATAAATTACCATCAACGTGACAAAGAAAGGCAGCCATGCAACTACAAAGGCTCCTATCACCACTGCCAAAGTCACTGCAATGCGGATTTCTCGCGCGAGAGATCGCGATCGTCTCGCGCGTTCTCTTGTTTGAGCCACTTTGTAAATTAAAGAGTACGCGATTAGTATGATGAACAAAGGAAAGAAAAAGCTAGCAGTACTGACGAACGGTGGATACCATTTAAGATAAGATCCATTCACTTGACTGACGCATGCGACCACGAGGGCATATATCCACGCACCCACGATAGTTATGACAATGGTGGTGCGTGACAAGTTCCGGTGTATCGCGGGTTGTGTGACAGAAATACAACGTTCTAGGCTGATCATGACCAGATTAATGACGGACGCCGTCCCGCACAAAATGTCGTAAACAATGTAAACTTTGTAGGCCGTTGTATCTGTGCCAGTGCTCATATCAGGATTGACTGTTCATTAAAAAAGAGAGACAGACAGAAATTCATTAGTAATCATGAATTCCATCTTTGCACTCTACCTCACTCTACCTCTATAGGGAAAGTGAGTGTCCTAAGCTTAGAGACGGACTAGTAGAAAGCTTATGGGTGGGGGCGAAGTACAAAAAATATTCGCGTAAGGGAAAATTAAAAGGAAAAAAGTCATGCACGCCAAATGACCCTTAAAAAATATTCATACAAAGGCCTAAAAAAATTCATGCGCCTCGAAAATTACCCACCCTTCCCCTAACTGTTCTAATAGTCCGTCCCTTATGGAAACGACAATTTAAAGGACCACAAGTTTATCAGTAGCTGCTGTCACTGTTGTGTATTCCCCTCGTAAAATAAAGTCACTTTACCCGCTTACTTAATTATTATTTTTGTTTGACGCTTAGTGCTAACAGAAAAACTACCTACTCGAATCACACAAATTGCGAGATACAGAAAGAGGATTCTTCACGCCCTGAACAGCTTTCGTTACTACCTATGTCCTGTCTGCCTCCTACACAGGCTTTTCCAAGCGTAAGCGGAGAGAGTGAACTCAGAACGGGACATGGACACCCATATAAACGATAGCCAGCGGGCGACTGACGACGAGGCAGGCGTACACATTCTAGAGGACGGGTGAAAGAAGTTGTAGAAGGTGCCGGGAACGAGTTAGGCCTGTTTCACACGACGTCGTCGTAGTATTAGTAGAGTAGTAAAGGCTTTATTTATAGTGGGTGACACTTGACAGTAGTAAAAACACTAATGAATTCGTGGCCCCTCTCGTGGCCCGTCGTGTTACAGCCGTTCTAAGTCTTCTAAACTGCCTCAACTGTAGCACGACTATAGCGCTACTGGAGCTAGAGGTGGTTTCAGGCTTTGAATTTAACTCAGAAGAATAAAATAGCTGTTACGGAAAACGAAACTTAAAAATAAAAGGCGGTTTAGTGAGCTTTTAAATGTATTCTAATGTATTTATAATTTATGAATTGAGGTAGGCATGACAATAGCCCATTGTTTGCAGTAGGCCTTAGAAAGTCTCCTTCGCAAGAGAGAATAGCGACCTCAGTTTGATTTGCGAGTCACTGACTGATTTAAAATTTCAAAGAACTTTATTTCCACGACACTCGCACCCCTTACTAAGTTCCTGTCCACCACATAACGATTAAAGAAATTTTAGTGGCAAGATTGCTGTCGGTGACATTAATATTACCTAAGGCGCCTGAACTTGCAGGCGCTTGCACTAGAACTTGCACTACTCAGTTCAAAGATGACAGACGACTAATTGTTGCTCCTGGAACACATGGAAATATTTATGATTTGTATCTGTTCATCTGAGTAAGATGCCAAAAATGGCTTTATTACCTCATACCTGCAATCTAATCTAAAGGTCCCTAATACAAGGTATTAGATAGTAGGCGACTTGATAACAAGTTTTGTCTAAGTAGTTTATGTGCAAGCTCCTGCCGATGACCATCAAAGCCGCTGGATTTACTTTGAGATGACTATGATCTTAATCAATGTGACTGGTAGACGAAATAGTTTTAGAAGGGGCATCTATCTTGTAGATATGGGTAAATGTAGGTTGAAAGTAATACCTAAGGTCTTTCCTTGTAGAAAAGCACGGTTTTTTTCACTTGGAAGACCTGAACGCCTGTTTTCAGGTCATGATATAATTGTGATCTGCAACGTGAAAGGGTAGACTAACGAATAATTGATAGTTCGTTCAATTAGGCTGTTTCAGATCAGGCTAAGCTTGTAAAGAAATAGCTCATATGAAATTAACTTCCTAGCTAAATTCGTATGCTAAATTTACTAACTCAACATCCGTCCTAATCAAATTATTTATCAAATGGCTGCTTGTTTTTTACGAAGAAAGATGATCTTTATCGACCTTTACATCCTTAAGTAACCCTTCCCTTTCTTACTAAAACATCCGCCTTTGAAAGGCGATTGAAACACAAGATTAAAGAAAAGTTGTTGATTCTGGATTCATAGTTCACCACAAATTCAATTACTTCACTGAATCATTGAATTTGTCAATCCTTATAGTCTAAGCAGTTAAACTTGTTTGATTTTATCAAAATGCTTTGGAAGACAACTGAGCACACTTGTAAACCATTCATATATATATACCACTTGATATTAAAAGCCTCTCATGGCGGAAGCCGCAAGACTAAACAACAACTGGTGGGAAGGCCCGAGGGTGAAGTTGCTTTAAAAAGTACACTTTCCTAAGTGGAAAGGCCAGGGTCAAGTTGTATAAAATGCAATGTTGCTGGTCACGACAGCTAAAAGCTAACTATAACATACATGGCGTTCAGCTTCATCAAACTCTTCACTTGAACTCCACTCAAACACAGAATCACAACTTACAGTGCAGCAGATAAACGCCTGACATTAACATTTATACTACTGGCCCCGGCGAGAAGGGCAGTTCAGATTCTAGGTGCAAATAGCAAGCAAGCTGCCTCTTTCCAGTTAGTCTTCTAGGCATCTAGCCTGAGAAAACAGCCAATATTTTACGACGCGATTGTTTTAGCTGTTTTCCCCGCTCAACGACGTCTGAGGGACGAGCCCAGAAACTCATATCTGGGTAGTGCTTCTGATTGGTTGAAAATCTGCTTCATATTTAGGGGTTGCTTACATGGAGGGAGGAAGATCCTAGCACCAGGAAGATCGTAGAAAGCGGATCATCCTAGCGCCATATGTTTCCTGCGTTCAGTTTACATGCAAAGACCTAGGGTTGTACTTGTGCCTAGAGCTATGATTCGATGCTGAGAGGTAGGAAGGTTTGTGCGCCGTGTAAACTGCTTTCGCTATCCGAGTACTAGGGACAAACCAGGGGAAAATGGCGGCGGGTCGTTGAGTCAGGGTAACCACGGCAACTGATAAAGGCCAAAAGTTTCGTTTGGCGTTAGCACTGACAAGCTTCTTTATTCTGCTGAAAGGTATAGTCGAACACCGCTTTAAGGATACCAGCTTAATACGGAAAGCTCGTTATTACAGACAGTTTCTTTGTTCCTGGGAAAAGCTCATACATTTTCTCTAAATTAAACCCGCTTAATACGGACAGCCGTTAATGCGGCCAACGAACACTCGTTTCTTGCCCAATCAACAGATTCTCATAGAACGTCAACCTCGCTAATGTGGACTCTTAAAAAGACCAGAAGGGCTCAAATTGCATTTTTGTTACTGTCGCCCGCCATTTTTAATTCCTTCTCTTCTTGTAACCACACGGGCCGAAATTTCTTCATGTAAACCCGACGTAAGGTTGTTCCTCCTTCTGGAATCTTCCGCCCTCCTCTATTACTAATTAGGACCTGCGCTCGCACGTGCACGTGTCATGCTTGCCCCGTGCGCAACAATCCTGAGGAAATGCAAGCAGGCTATAGGACAGTTCTTAATTTGTAGGGTTACAAGTAAACACTATGATCGTTGTCCTACATCTTAGAAAAACCACCGCTTTCAACGCACTTTTGTAATTCGAGTTCCCATGTAGCGCAAAATTACGTGTGTTAATACTGACGAAAGAAATCTCTCCATATTCCTCGCCCTTATTACATTACTAGCTTTTCCTTAATGAGCTTTTTAAAAGGCTGGAAATACACAATGTGAAGTGAATTGGACCCCGAAAATGTGATGAATGCCAGTAAGGGTTGATTTCCACTGTCGCGTAATTTTCAGGTGCCTACGCAAGTAAATTTTACGCGCGTGAATAAAATAGAGGCTGGAACGTCGCGCGTAAACGTAAAAGTTGAACCCCGCTCAAGTCTTACGTTTACGTGCGTCGACCTTTCATACATTGCCTTTATTTTATTTACGCACTTAAAATTTGCGTTACGAAAAAAACACGCGACAGTGGAAATCCACCCTAAAACGCCCGTGGACTCGTAGACAAAGTCGTGGTATACGTTATTTTTTTCCCTCTTTCCTCTCAGTTAAAAAAAAACCTTAAATCAAAAACAAGATAATGAAGGAAAAAGTATTGGGCGGACAGGCTCTGTTGTAAGGATTGTGCAAAAAGGTAAGAAAGTTGCTCGCGCATTACGGGCGTTTTCATCAATCGCTTGGCCCGTTAGTACACTACTGCGATGGCGATGATCCCTAATCGATTTCTTCAGTTGTTGTATCCATTTTCGAAGTTACAAAGAAGGCCGTTTTGTTTACATTTGACTTGTTTTGTTGCAATAGGTGCCAGTGTCGTCACTGAGTTAAATCAATAGAGAGATTTATTTGATTTTTTCGCGAATGGGCTTCCGATCATTGAGTGTAAACTTTACGGAGACACTGTTGGCGTAACAAAAGACATTTTCTCCGGCTTTATGTTTCTGGAACACAGTTGACGTACTTAGAAGCGTCCTATAGTTGGCGTTTTCTGCGTATCTGAAAGCTTATATTGGAAAACTGAAAAATCGCTCAGTTTGCTGGTACTAAGCAACAATGGAGTCCTTCAAATATAACATCTGCCCTCTGTTTAACATTGTGCCCATGGCGAGCTTTTCAATTACTGGAACATTTTGAATAGAATATACTGAGAAATTAGTATATTGAGTATTCTGAAAACGTTTGCAAGGCCATGCTAATCACTGCCAAATAGTGGTTTACTTTTTCATATCGGACGAAAAATTCATTTTCTCAATATACCAATGGTGACATGTTGTTGTGTAATCAGATTGATTTTCATACTGACTTGTTTATGCTCCGTGGTATTCAAATTGATTCTCGTGATTCAATGACTACACTCGTCCAAAAAATCAGTAATAATTTTCTTTGTCAAATTTAATCCTTCCCCTTAAAATGGCACTTTTTCTTGGAAAAATAACTTTCTAGAATTGAAAAAAAGTTTGTAGAGGTAATTAACGCCTTCTTTCCTGTGGGAAGCCGAACAAACGGCATTTTTCCGAGACAGGATCAGTGCTCAAGGCGAAACGGAAAGACTGGTCCGCTTGTCGCTTTAGCAAATCTTTACTCAAATTTTTGGAAACTTCCTTTCGCTTCAATCATCTCTTTATGGACCAACAAAGTATTATTTTCAATTGCCTTGACTTGAACTAAAACACTTAATCACAACAAGACTTTAGAACTGAGGATCCGCGCGATGGGAGATCCATACTTTGGGCAAACAAGTTCTCATTGTTTGTTTTATATTTAGCCCAAAACTTGGGATATTTGCAAATCTCGATATAAAGACTTCAATGTTCTGGTTACAAATTTCTCGGCGAAGGAAGTCACGCGATTAGGAACTAGTTAATCTTAACGTAGCAAAACGTCACGCGAAAAGGGAGATATCCTATATGTATGCATCTGCACGTGAACTGGAGATTGTTTTTGGCATTACACTGAACCCTGCTGTTTAATATTGCTACGTATATTTATCGGTGATATATTGACAACACAAAAGTCTAGCAAATGCGAAGGCAAGCAGATTTTCAAGTCTGAAAATTGGTGCAATTTCCCGAATTTTATACGAAATAAAAGCATCTTTTCCGCACTATTAAGTTAATTATGAGAAATTTATCGCTGGTCTGGTGAGCCCGGCCATCGAGCATCATTAAGATCTGTATATGAAGTTTATGATGTAGATTTGCAACCAAAGCCGGTTATTTTTACAACGCGCAAAGAAAGCACATGAAGTTGTTAACGCTAGTAATTCTATCTGACTGATTTCGTAATGTGTTTATCGCCCCTGTCTTCGAATCGGGATCAACTCAAAGAAAATATCACGTGTGATAAGACTGATCGCCGATCTGTAGCATTCTTTAATATATTTGGACAGACCGTTTAACAAACCAGAATAGTTGCCAGATTTGTATATAAAAAATTAGTAAGGCCACTGTTTTCTCTGCTTTTACTTGCTACCATGCGTTAAATAATTGGTGTTACTTACCTAATCTAAAATAGACCCAGTAAGGTACTGAAAATACTCCCACCAGGATATCGGCAATAGCCAGAGAAACCAAATAGTAGTTTGTTTTAGTCCTGAGTTTTCGGTTTCTGTAAATCGCCGTACAAACCAGAGTATTTCCAGCCAAAATGACAAGACTTAGCAAAGCGAAGAAGAGAGATTCTACGATCAGACCAGGCCTCACTGCATTTGCTGTTCTGTTGTTTGGCATGGCGGGCTGGGAACATCTAGCCTACATTGAAAGAAAAACAAATGTCCTGAGACTTTGACGTGAGTTTTACTACAATTAGCATTAAGTCTCGTCAAGTTTTTTTAAAACACTGATTGGTGTATTTTAAGAGGAAGCCAAATAATAACAACACGTTACAAGAGACAAGACAGACTAAGGCCACGACAGTTGGCCAGTTGTTTTGTTTTTGTTTAATAGAAAACATTTAACCAGATACAATCTGAACTGATAACCGTCTAAAATGCTTAATTGGGTCAAATTTTAGGGTCTCTAGAGAAAATAGCATGAATCATATACCCAACTAATCTAAACAAACCTTCATTTAATACTTGTCCAACATTCGCTGCACGAAGTTTTATGGTGAAAACCTTGTAGATTATTTGACAGGCGTTGTAAACAACTGAACCTTGTTGTCATCGTTCGATACAATATTAAAATTCTTACAACAAATCACTCAATTGTCACACCTACGTCACTTTTAGGCCTTTATTTCCTCCGCTGTCAATGAATTCGCTGTTTCATTTTTTTAAAGGTCAAGGCATTTAAAAAAGAAAAAAATCCGGAAATGTTCACAAAGCGCGTGGGTTTTATGCGAAAAACAAACAAGAAGATTGAGTTGTTTTCGTTATTATATCTTCTCGTCCAAACTGCTAGCGACCCATCCTTTATAGGGCAGCCGTGTCCTTTGAATCGCTTGTCTAAATCTATTGTTTTTGTTTTTCACCTTATAAACGTCAAAGTGATCCTGGCGCGTTGTTGTTTTTTTTCACACAGCCAACCAGAGGTGAGAAGCTACTGGGGCGAGAAATTAGAAGTGATCGAGACAATGTACTTTAATAAAACACTTGTTTGATGTCTAGAGCGACAGAAAAGGCAAATCCCGCTGTGCTCATGGTGCTAAGCTCACAAAAGATTAAAAATGTGGACCTCTTAAGAGACACCACGCAGTGAAGTTTATTAGCCTTTGCTACTTTAAAATTTTGATTAAAATCGTGACATCACACATCTGTGACCTGAAATGGCATATTCACCCAAAAATTGCCAAGTAATCGTTGTTTTTAGGATCACAAGATTTCGCTTCCAAATGCACATGTTCAATGTACGAAAAAGGAAAACAGGTTGATTTCATGCAGCCTCCTTTTGGCGCGGGGGTGGGAGTGGGGAGTGGGGGGGTTGGGGACTGACTGGGTCCAACCATATTTGACAAAAAAGGTACCCCTTTCGTATACCTTCCATCGACAAATGGTACCCTTTTCACACACCTAGAAAGTTAAGAACTTTGCATCCCTTAACTTTCAATATGCTCTGTCTTAAAAAAATATGAATAAATCACAAAGCCAGAACGTTTTTTCGACTTTTTCAAAGCCATGAAATGCATCTGTAAGACCTTCTTGGCCTTTATTCCAGACAAAAGAAAAGATTCCCCTTCCCTTTCATATGCTTCAACTAACAAATTCTCTACCCTTTTTTATGCGCCTGAGCGTGAAAATGGTACCCGGCCTTTCGAGCGGAGCCCCCCCCCCCCATATAGGCCCCCCCTCCCCCCCCATATAGGCCATTATAAGGATCACCCCTGGGTATAGAGTACAGGCAGCAGTCTTTTGGTCTTGCATAAGAAAAAATTACGACTGTTTTTAGCTCGGTTTCAGATTGCATTAGAGAGGTAGTTGTTCGGCCGGGTACTGTGTGTGAATGGTACTCTAAGTGGCACTAGCCCTGGAGTCTGTGAATGAAACCAATCCGTGTAACTTTGCTATTTTATGATTTTGGAATGTTAAATGCTTACGGCAGCGGAAGAGTTTGTTCGTTTAATTCTTATTTTAAGCAGAAACTGGCGTTTCACCCCGTCCTTCAACCTTCGTAGGTGACAGCATTCGGTTTCGTCATGATATTTCCTGCATATAATCACTTGAACCCAGCCTACTAGGCTTATTGGAACCTTATTGTGGTTTTTAATGAGTTGTTGAACCAATTGGCAAACTCTTGGTAGTGAGAGTTGTTTATAAGAAAGTAGTTTTACGACATCCGTCACAGAGGAAATGACGATCGCTATTAAGGTGAGATCAGAAGAATACAGAAACTTAGCCGGGAGCAGGAGCGGGAGCTGAAACCAGTTGTTTACTCAATGACATTGATTGATACTCCTGCCATGACGGGATGTTGCTCTCGAAGTCAGTGTAATCAGGATGAGATACTTCTCGTCAATTTCAGGGGCACCCAACGAGGATATAGTTCAAAACCACTTAACATAGCATTGTTGAACGTATTTTAGTATTCAAACGGAAGATATAGGCATATTTTTATCCCCTAAAAACTTTTCATCTGTTCGTATTTCCTAGCTGAAAGTCTAGTGATCCGAAAATTATAGGGATAAAAACTTACCTTCTCGAAAATTTCAGCCAGGAAAAGGCTCCCGAAAGTTCTAGGTGGCCTTTTTTAGGGTCAAAATCCGTTAAAAATGGGTAATTATACCATTTTGTAGATGTTCGAAAATCCTAGGAGAGGCAGGCAAGCAAGAAATTTTACAACAAATGTTCCGAAAATTCTTGATCTCAAATCGTCTTCCGAACAGATATTGTCCCGAAAATTGCCGTTGGGTGCCCCTGCAATTTGACACTGGCGCCTCAGCAAAAGAGGATATTAATTTCACTCCTAGGTGATATTGACTAAGTAGGAAAAACTACTGCCCAAACATATCGTCCAGTGTTTTAAAGAAGTCGAAAATATTATCAGTATTTGTTTTTCATTTTTTCACTGTTTTGTTTGTTTGTTTGTCTGTCTTTCCGGTGAAGTCACGATAGAGACCCGAGACAGGAACGTTAATGCCACACACATACAATCGATTTCATGAAGTACGTGTTTGACCGGTTCTAGAATTTTGCGCGCGTGTATTCCACCACGCACTTCCTTCGTACTTTAGCGACAACCTGTAGCGCTTGGCGGCATGCAAAAGCAAGCTTTCTCTATAATCTCTCCAGGACTGCTCCTGTTCAAAATTATATAACATTAGCACCCTAAGGACAGACTGGTGTTAAAAACTGTTTTTGAAATTATTTGAGAACGTCGACCGAGGATGTTGCTATTTCAGGTCAATTCTTTGCTTAAGTCCTGATGATAACTTTAGCAGGCAAAGCATTAAAACAGTTTCAATCCAGGTCCATCCTTGCCATCCGTAGCAACAGCGACAGGAAACAGTTTCAACGGCTGAATAGAGTCTTCAGGATCAAAACTGGACCATCATTTTTGGAATTTAGTTGATGCGATGACGGCACTTTTCAGCTTTTTAAAAAGATATCAAACTGAACGTGATCGTGACCCGGAAGCAATTTCAATCCGTTTAATTTTTTTTCAAGTTTGCCATCTGTGGCTTCTTTTTTATTTGCTGTGCTTTTCATACCTTTTCTTCATGTTTGGACAAGTTATTTTTGTGTTAAACCCAGTTTTAGGGCGGTTTCGACTGTTTGAATTTCGACGAATTTCGTGACACATCTACTAAATTAAGCTCTCTTCTCTGCCACCCAAGCTTATTTCCTCGGCTATAACCTCAGGGGACCGCGCCCTTTCAATCGCTTGGCACACACGCAGCACAAATTCCGGAGCAAATTAATACCAGCCACCAGTCTGTATTAAAAACACCTCGTTACAATTCTCAGGTTTAAACATTTTAATGGTTTTACAATCCTTTGGAAGGTTCATAAAGGAAGGAACGCCTGTTAAATCAATCTGGCCTGTACTAAGATAGAGAAGGGCTACGTGGAATTTCTTCTCGGCACCGTGCGTCACCCCATCATCTGAACGCCCGGAATCAAGTCGTCGGGTGAAATTTCGTGAGCTTGTTTGCGTGTTTCGTGTATAAAATCGGTTTCGAGGTAAATCTCGGAAGTAGTATAGTATTGGTGCCATCCTGATTGAGGGTGAAACCATGAAAAGCGTTAGAAACAGAAACTAAAGAGGCCATTTTCTTGACATTTAGAGAGTGTTTTAACTCGGTAGCTTGCTGGGAAAAGAAAACGTGGTGGCCATCTATCTATATTCAACACTGGAAACAGAAAGTGTAACAATGTGATTTTTTGATAAAAACGAGAGATTTCAAATTATTGATTTGGCAAAAAATCGTGAACATTTAAACAGTTATAACATCGTTTTTCACTTTTTGGGGATGATGAGACATGTGTAGGGAGAACCAATAGTTTTAACTCACAACATTGTTGCATTTCTTTTGATCTCGAATGCTGCGCCAACTTGTTTGGAAAGCGCCTGCAGTGTATCTACTTTCTCTTTTGTAATGATAAACGTAGACAGCTCATGTTTGCTGACACAGAGTCTTGACTGGTTGAGCTTCATTGACTTGGAGAGCCGAGACTAACGTCGACGTTCAAAAAGATCGAGATGAACTAAAGAGAAATTCGCCGTCGTTTGCTCACGTTCTCGATAAAACTAGGAACTGGACAATTTCACTTCGTAGTCGTGTGCAAAGACGGCAAAGAGAAGTACTAAAAAGTGTGCTACAATACGAGCACCGCACTTTTTAAACCTACATCTCTTTTTAACGTTCTTGTTGCCGTTGAGTTGCATTAGGTCCCTGCTTAACTTGCAGCTCTGTCATTGGCTGAAAAGCCAGGTCGCTAACGAAAAATTGCATTGAATTAATTAAATTGATCACTTTGGTAAACGTTTGCACCGATAGTTTCAAAATTTGATTTCGTAAAATAGTGTTGAGGATAGCCCCGAGTTCCTGCTCCGAAATTCGCAGACCGTAAGGGTGAGATCAGAACGCACTATGCGGCACGCAGTTGAACAATGACTCAGTAGGTTAGGACCATTTTGGACAGTAAAACTGATCTCACTATAATCTTTCTTTTAATTCAAGAATTTACCTTTTTGAGTATAGCTGTCATGAACTGTAGTATGATTTTACTTTCATAAGAAGTCGTACAAGTTTCGTATGTTAAGTAGCAAAGCGTACACAGGCCAGTGTTATTATAGAGGCGTTAAATTAAGTACGGAGTCTATGATTCTCAACGATTATTGATCTCGTTATTTCTTCAAGTTATTCAAAAGGTGTTCTGGGTTTGTTTCTTGGAAGGTTTGCATGATAAGAAAGCACCTGTTCATAATCAGTTAACTTGGTATTAAGACATACTTACTGTTTCAAAGGCCCCCAGACTACCGTTGAAAATCAACACCCGGCGTACACAACAATTTACTTCCCTCCACACACACAACCTTATGCAATAAAAGCATTTGTTAGGCAGGTGAGTTTTTTTATCTTGATATCTAAAATATTTCGCATTTTACATATGCAAATAGGAACTTAATTACTCTAGCTGTCAACCGTTTTGTGTTTTATTGTGTTGAACTAACGTGGCTAATGACGCCGCAACAGTGGTGTTTATAGCAAAAAGGCAAACGTGATTTGTGGAAAATAAACTGTTTAATGATAGGTGTACATTTTTCATGAGGAAGGTATTTTTGTTTAAAAATATATATTAAAAAGGTAAACGTTTTAAAAGGCTTTAAAATTTTTGCTGAGTTACTTTTGTAATAAGCTTTCATTTTATTCTTTTATATTCCAAAAATGGAACTATTAATAATCGATTGAAGTGCATACATGTAACAGGGTAGGGAAAATAGTCCCCAAAATTTGGACTGAACCAAAATGTCCAATTTGAAAGGAACATAAAAGCCAGTTTTACATGACCATAAAAGGAGAATCAAACACCAGGAAGAAGAACAAATTCAGACAATAATCTGACGTATTTATCACAATAAATCTTTGTCTTGTGGATAAAACTCTTCATTCCTCTCTCTATAAATACACTCTTTGTTAATTCGGCTCATTGTAATATAATAATTAAGAGAGAATATCAATATTTAGTCTGCAATGGTTTTAAACTCGATTTATTTACCTTTAAGTAATTGCATTCAAAGATAAATCTAAGTCGTATTCGCCAAGAGAACCGCTGAAACTAGTGTGCAGTCGAGGCTATAACCCCGAGGCGTTTGAAAATATTTACATGTAAAACGATTTTTCCAGTTTATTACGAAGAAAGACGGATAAGGGAGATAGACTTGTATATGTTAGTGAGGAAATAAAATCTTGCGATGATTTGAAATTAAATCAGGTATTTTACAGGTTTTCTTCAATTTTGATTTCACAAAGAAACTTCGCCAAAACGACTGCCAGAGAGATTGATAAACGCAGTATCAGATTAAAAATCGCTATTAAAGTAAACTGAATCAAATGCGATGAGTAGAGAAAAAGAGTAAAAGTAAATAATTTTAAAATCAGGTTCTGTTTCCCATCGTTATGAAATGAGTTTTCAGCTATATTATAATAGTTCCTTTAGAGTGGTGATAGGCTTTGAGAATAAGAAGTTTGATATGTGAATATTAAACTTTGTACGACGGTTCATAGAATGTTCTAGTCCCCAGTGGGTGTATATTAGAAGGCGTGAGACTTAAAAACAAATTATCATTGAAACCAATACCGGCTACTGAGCTCAGAGTACTTACCTGAGGTCATGTTGTTTTAAGTTTGGAAATTGAGGATGATCATTTTAATAAATCAAGCTACCGAGCAGGAAGGCTACCCGTAGGGCGCCGGGAGCACCCATTTAATTTCCGAAAATTGAGAATTGCAGAGAATTGAAAGCCAAAACTGGTGTTGAAAAAAAGCCGAGCGGAAAAGGAAGGTTGACTGTACAGTTATGAGATTATATTTCTTTAATTTCGTAGCTGTACAGTCAGACTTGCTTTTTTTAAATACATGTTTGCTTAAAAACATTTTGCTGACTAGATCCATCAGGAACCGGCACCTTTCTTTTGTATGTTGGCCCTTGCTATTTATTATAGAGGAAAAACTAGCTGACTATCAAGATACTCGTTGTTTGACAATGTTTTCCTTTTTAATCGATAAAATTTAGTTTCGGCGTCGTCGTACAAATGACTGAATTCAGTGGCTCCGGCCTTCTGCCATAACTAACAGTCATTTACTCATATAAGCCATTAGTAAAAAGACTTAGAAACTTCTAGCGTACTTTTTTAATTTACGAATGTCGCAAACATCATGGCTATTAATCCATTTTAAACTCTTCAAGACAATTTTATGGCTCGATCTGTCACTGATCACACATCATAATTGTCAAGATTTTAAGGCTGTTAGTTCCTACTTAATTACACCGGGCGATAAAAGACTAGCCGATTCAGAGATATGCTCTCCATATCTTGATGACTTTTGGGCTGAATGGGAAAGCCTCTAAGGGCAGTTGCACCATGAAAAAAGTACTGGCGCTTGTATAACGTCCAAACGCCTTGCCAAAATAAAGGATGTGATGTATGAGTTCACTGCGGAAAATTTATCAGTTGAAAACGATCTTAGAATCGGATTCAGTAATATGTAAAGGAAAGGTCGCCCACAAGCCGATGTTTAATTATAAAAGAAACATAACAATTTCATAGGTTTTGGGTCGAAACAATAAACACTTAATGACTGGTCACGAGGTTACTGTTTCCCGAGAGACCTCACCAGTCTTTAAGTGATTTGTTATATAGCTGGAAATTTTGAAGCTGAAAATTCATTAAACCTCGCTGTAACGGCGATCATTAGTCAACATTCGCAATGTTACCCTCGGACGTCACTTTTTGCAATTTTGCCCTCCCAGAGATTTTGGCGGGAAACAGTTTCATTGTTAGATGTCATGTGACCTCGAAGTAACCAGCGGCACATACCCATTAGACTCTTATAAGGAAGTACCTCCCGCCCCCGTGCGCGCTGTGAGAAGAAATTTCCAGCTATATAACAATGGGAGTTATGCACTGCCGCCTAACTAGTAGTCAGTCATTTCAGCCTATGTTTTCATGTTAGAGGGTCTCAATGGGGTTAACCGTCAGCCGTCAAACGGCCTAAAATTTAACTGTCAGTCGACAAAAAAGGTTATATTTTACCGTCAAACGTCACAGGTTAATATTAACCGTCAAAAGGCTTTAAGGTATCTTAATTTTCATTATTTTAGCTGATCTTCACGGACTCCAAGCCTTCTGAAGAATCTCTTAACTGGAAAACTCAGTTTCCATGTTCTCAGAAACACACTCTTTAGACATTACAAAACCTTACAACCTGCTTATATCTGAAAATATTTAGAAATTTTAAAAGCGGAAGGCCAAGACAACCTGTAAGACACAAAAGTTAATTGTTGCGATTGCATATTTAATTTGATAATCAGATAATTTTTAATAACTCCATTATCAATAGATATATTTTAGTGATATCTTTTACATTTCTCCTTACATTATAATAGTTTTTATCTGACTTATATTTCCTTAATAGCTTTGTAGATATTTTTAGGGGGTCATCTTACATGAGGATTCAGTTCCTCCCTGATGGCAGCCTTTTTGTATTGATTATTACAAATAAAGTTGTTATAAATAAATAAATAATTATACTTGGAGTAAGTTTGTACTTAATAACCGTCAACCGTCAAAAACTCTAAGATGTAACCGCTAACCGTCAAAATTGGAAAAACTTAACCGTCAACCGTCAAAGCTACCACCCCACCACCCCATTGACGCCCTCATGTTAGTCCATTGCGCCGTCGCAGGAGACAGTCATAGTAGTAAGTAGTTATGCAATACGGCTTATAACATCTCATTACGTCTTGTCAAAGACTTAATCTATGTTAGTTTTCTAAAAACGAACCACAAAAGTTATCATCATTTTAAGATACTTTAAGTATAACTATAGGTGCATGCATACATCAGTACAACACTCATCAATTTCCACCTCCTCCTTTATATTTAATACCCCCCCTAAAGTAAGCAAGCTAACGAAACTATAGTCACTTACTCACTTTGCAAAAATCAATGTATCGGGTCTTGAGAACCAGAACTTAATTCTGAGAATTTCAAAGAAGAGAAATTTTTTTTCCCCTCTCTCTTGACGTTGGATGGTACGATAACTTATGATGTTAAGAAGTAAAAATTGAGAACAGAGACTTTGAGAAACACAAAAGGGAAACTGTGGTACTGTATTTTCGGATAACTGCTGGAGCCCAAGAGTTTGGTTAGCACTGATAAGTCCTTGGGCATGTCTAATTCATCATGGGTTGAGGTTTCAACTATTGAAAAGCAGTTATCTTTACGTTATGCTCGCTGCTTTTAAACTAGTTCCTTTTATTTATTTACTTTGAAAGGAAAACCGTTTGCATGTTATCTGGGTTTCAAATATTTTCATTTTTTTTCAAAATTAAATTCATTTTACAAGTCTACAAAAGTGAGTGATGAGAAGCAGTTGTTTGACATCTTATATACTCGTATAAAATGACGTAAGTGAATGGTCAAGGATTGTATACAATGAAAAGTGACTTAAATACACAGCTGTAAAGAAGAGATCATTTCTCGAAATGAATTTGTTAGGAAACTGTACCAACTTAGAGCCGTTTTTTAACCTTAGTTATGAAATTGTTTAAAGAATTTTCAGAGAACTGGTTAGATGACCTCAAATTTCAGTACCAACTCAAACTTCCTTCGATCTACTAAATGTAGTTACAGGGAAACGACTAAACGAAAGAGCCTCCACAGTCAACTGTTTATACTTACGTTTTCCACGTTACCTGTCAAAACGTTCCTTTCAGACAATAGATGTTTAGGGCAATCACTTCCAGCTTTCAGTGAGCTGGTGTTTATTGCATGGAATGGAGCCAATATCGTCCTACTAAGTTCATTCTACGAACCTTCCCTAAGATATTTCGTTCTTTACTTTTGTGATTTTTCCTCGTTGTTATACATTGTCGTAAATATCTACCCGTTATCTCTTTTGGAAAACACTCGGACTATTTATGACAATTGAGGTGTTTAAAACCTGGTCATTAAAAATTAAGCCGTCGGTTTGGTTTTTGCGGGTTGTTCCGCTGACAAACTTGCGGAGCAACATTCATTTTGAATTATTTTTATTTACATTAATACCAGCCTGCCTAGCTGTTGGGATTAGCGGACCAGTAATGCAAAGAATCGAGCGAGTGCTTTTGTTTCGGCCGCGGAGCCGATAGAACATTAGGACCAAGTCACTGCTAGCGAAGCTCCGCGGCCAAAAAAGTACCCCGATCCCCCCACCAGCGACGTGGGCTACAACAATACGGCAGCGGTAAAAAATTCTCCCGAGTGGAAGCGGGGGGGGAGGGGGCGTTGTTCTCCTTTGGAAACTCTGTATGTGTGTGCGTCCCAAAGGGTATGATGCTTGCGCCATTTTGGTCTGGAATTTGTTGTTACGGATTTCTCTAGTTTGTTGTCCACTGCGGTCTGAGATTTGGTATGGTTTTCGCGACTTGACGGTTAAAGAACACACTCGTATGTGTACAGCTGCTCGAGCTCCAGTTATTAAAACGTGCGCGCCAAAAAAAATACTTCTATAAGTACTCAAAGTACCAGCGAAAAGTTTTGCATGTTCACAGTTTTGAAATTTGCCACAGAATTAAGAATACCTAAGAACACCTTGTACTCAGCATTATAAACAGTACCACAGGATAGAACTGCTCACTAGCAAGGGCGGATTTAGGGGCTGGCCGAGGGGGTCGCGGTCACCCCTTTTTGTTTGAAATTTTGTATTATTTTTATATAATTCTGAGAAAATAAAAAGCATCTAAATAGCTTGCAAGCGGGAAAGTGTCACACATTTCTGAATTTTCTAGATCCGCCTCTGAGTAGAATGGCTGTGCCTTAGGAATTCACGTAAGTCTCATGTAGACTACTTGGCTCTCAGAATAAACAGCCATAGACATAGTAGAAGAAACTTAGCTTTCTGGAATACTCTACTTCACTGTTTTTCGTTCTTGTATTGGTAGGACACGTGCAATGGTGCACACAGGGAACTGATAAGTACGTCAGAACTTTGGTTGAGTTCTGAGTTTATCATCTACTATCACCCCCACTACTGGAAAAACGTCTGAACACTTAAAGCAAGGGCTTTTTACACTAACCAATTTACTATTCGAACTCTGCTGATCAAACAAAATGTTTATAAGTTTTCTAATAACTTTACGAACTAAAGTCTGTCGTAAGAACCCCTAGCGATAGGATCATGTACCTCCTGTTGATCGGTTTTGTTGCCTGTAGTTGGCTTGTGCTAGTCAAAACCAAGAGCCCATCAACTTTGATGGGCTCCTATCAAAACTTATCCGTTTTCCCATCGATGAATACAGTTAAGGAGAAATTCGATGTTTATCATGCACCGATGAGTTAAATTGTTAGGTTCAGACCGATCGATACCCACACGACTAGTTATTGCAGTCTATGAACCGATTTTTGGTAAAAATTTCATCGGTTAAGTAAGACCAAGATTTGATTACTTACTACTTTTCTTACAGCTTCAAAATCAAATGAAAACAATCTTGGCCGACAACCTGTTTTCTAACGTTATTCCCACGGTTTACATTCAAATCGCTCTACGATGCTATAATCCTTTAGGCTAATTCTAGAGGCTTTATACTACCTGTATTAAGGCAACAAGTTCACTTTTTAAAATTTCACCACTAAATTTCAGGCAGTTATAAAACACTGAAAAAAAGATCTCCGCGGTTGCAGCGGTAGTTTCACTTGTGTCTTGCAAATAATTCGTTGTAGTAAGTGTATGTAAGACAGAAAACTTATGAAACAACGTACACTAAACATAGCTTGTTTTTGTGTTTTCTCAGCCTTAAGACATACCTTGATTATGGCCCATGAAGTCAGAAGGTATAGTCCGTTACACAAAGAAAAGTTTGAAGATTTTTAAGAGTGGAAGATGTTGTTTTTACAGTCTCCCAAGTTCAAGGCCTTGTTTATATCTGGTCGTCAGCTCCAAAAACAAAGGGAATAGTACCTGAAAAGCTATTATACGACACATGCAAATTTGGACATCCAACAGTCTGTCTGATTAAAATTTCACTTTTCTTTAGTTCGTCAGACAATAACCCTAGAACTTAAGAGTACACAATCATCATTGTTATGCCTGCAATCATCTCTTTTGCGAATAAAGAACGCGGGATAACAGCTCCACTTTGGGAAGAAAATGCTTGAGTTTACATTTGCATTTCAGAAAGCTGCGATGGTTCACGGATTGGACAAGACCATGCGTAGGTCGAGAGAATTTGAATTGTGGCTTTAATACAATTGAGAAAACAATACAAAAGAAGCTGTTTGCTCTTAATGTCTCATTTACGTTACGCTACGCAGTTGATTTGGCACCGTCGGTACATGTTTTTAACATTTTTTTCCGGCTAATGATGTAGCGGTTTATGTTTACAACCACGACTGGCCAGTAAAAAAGAATAAAACACGTTTGATTTTCCGTAATTTCGTTGTCGGCACGAAACAAACAATAATAACTGAAAATGCTAGCGATAAACCAACGCATTTGATAAGAAAGAGTTTTAATGGGGTCGAAGAAAAAAAGAGACTTCGCTGGGATGTACGTAATAAGGATAAATTACGTGCCTTAACGTATCTAATAAGATTATATACTGGGTTATATGAAGGGTTTTAGTAAAGGCAGCGTATTAATCCACTTCATTATAACATGAGATTACAGATACTATTTTCTAGAAAACCGCTTACAAGAAAAGTGTGAATCTTGAAGAAGTTCCAGTGAGTTACTTTCGTGCGTCAAAGCAGAGTCTCGACGTCAGAATGATATCAAGGGGTCGAATCTTAATTTGTTTACTACGTGACCTGCCTTCAATTATTTCTTTTTATTTATCAAAATGAGTTGGGATGATACAGAGGTCCGTATAATTCTATCAAGTGGAATAAAGAAGGTGTGCGGCCCTGATATAAAAAACGTGGGAGTTTTGACCGCATTATCACATTTTGAGCGCTTGAGAATTAAAGATTACCTATATGCATTAAGTTATTGTTTAAGTAACCTGCACTTTTGTCAATTCTCTCGGACTAGCTTCTCTTTATTATTAATATTCCGTAAAATTTTCTTCTTACGATGATTCCTTCCTTGAAATCAAAATGAAATTATAACTTCGTTTTCCATCTGGCAAATGCAAATAACCCCAAATCGCCACAATCTAGCGTCGAAACAATTTCCTTCTTAAAGCTACATTCAGTTTGATAAGGAAGTGTTTTAATTAAAAGGCGATTGGTTTTTTACTATGATGACAAACTAGAAAAAATAAAAACGAAAACCAACGTCAAAACTGAAAGTTCAACGTCACCTTTTTAAAGCCTGATGTCAACAGCTATCTCCAAACGTTCTCTTTACGGTCGGAAAATAAGACATTCCTTGAAGTTATAAAACAGTTATGAGTTATGAAAAAAGTTCTCCACGCGCTGGCTATTGGCCCGGTTTTTGTTGGGATCTGTTTTTCAGGGAAAAAGCGGCATGTATTGCCCTAATGCGATTATTCAAATAGACTGTTAACAATGAGTATCGGCGAGAGAAAATTTCAAAAACAGGGAAGGTCGCTTCATTCCATATCCAGATAACCTGGATATTTGGGGGAGGAGGGGGTGGGAAAGTGGGGTGAAAGTATACAGGTGTTTCAAGTCATGTTTTTCTTTAGCCAATTTATTTTTAGTAATTAAGGCTGATATCCTGACTATTATCTCTTCAGTGCTGCATGTTTCCTGCTATGTTTCAAAGAGAATGGTTTGAACTTAGCAGGCTTGGTAAAGTTGTTCGTACTACTGTATATTTTAGCTGGAGGCAAAGTGCTTCTTCACACGATAAAGAGATTTCTAGGCTATCTTCTATGATTGAATAAATTGAGTGTTTAACACAGTGACGGTAGCTTGCATTTTATTGGTCAAGACAAATGAACCTGGCAACAAAAGACAAAGAATTTATTCCCTTCTAATGCATTATTTTTAACTCTTTTCATAAACATGAGAAGCTGAAAGACAACTGAACAATAAAAACTGAAAATCAGAATAATGGATGTCGTCCGGTTTTTCGACGCTGGCACGGAAAGTGACGCACCGTGAAATAAGTTTATATTAGAAAATGTGACGATTTTGATACTGAAGTTCTAAACGTTGAATCATGTTTCTTCCTTAAAACCTTGAATGATATTTTTGCTTCGGTTTCAAGGAGATTTGTGAAATGAATTGTAATATACCACTAATTGTTTAGAAGTTCATCGCCACCGATCGTTAAAAGATGTTAAAATGCTCAAATGTTTCTTCTTTGAGAAAAATCACTGAATACACCAAGGGTGTTAAAAACTTCAACTAGGACAAACATTTACGCCTGCAGAACTGAAGAGCTGCGGAAATGCCATTTATTAAAATATAAAAACAATCGTTCATGCGAAATTTTGAGGGCAAAGTAAATGGCTTCCACATGCAAGACGCAAGAAAGAAGAATCTTTTTTAGTGCCTTCCACTCGGCAGAGCGAAAACGATGATAAAACAAATGTCTGTAAAACCAATATGTAAATGGAATTAAATAGGTGTTGATGATAAGAAGGAAATATTGTACCATGAGGTTTTGCTAATATAATACCACGTAAGTAGCAAAATATTTTAAACCTATTTTTCATGCCTCAAGGTTTAAAATCAGTATACTCTAGTCATTTTCGTTGTTTTGTTCGAGGCTCGCTCTAAATGACTAGTAAGGTAATAAGGTGACAAGAGAAAATAAAATCTTTCTGGCCACGCAAAATTCAAACAACAATGTCTGGAGATAACACCATATATAGTCTGTGTTTATATCACACTGCATTTTCCAAAAAATAAAATACAAACCTGACTATCCGAGCATAAATATAGTGTCTTTGTACTATGCTTTGTAGACCACAGGGAGCGTCTCCAAAATGTTGAACGAAGCTCGCCAAGTGAAATTTCGGGCTTGCTATTACAAACTCGTAATATTCAGTTTGTAAAGGATGAAACCTTTTGTTTAGGGATCACTTTAGTGGAAGTCTGTTAAAATATGATAAATGGACGTAAATCAGTTGGTAATTTCCCGTATGTTGTTTTTCGCCTGTACATTGGTCCAATTCCAACAAGAGATTGAATACGAAGAAAACAATTTGAACCGTTATTATAATATAAATCCCAGTATAAATCTCTCAACAGCTAGACGACGCGTTTGAAAACTAATTTAAGCGTGCTAAATACGTGACTGGCAAATCTCAGAGCTAGATGGTACCGTCGGAAAGGTATTTTAATGAAACGAGTTTGTCTTCACGATTATGTGAAAGGTACAGGCGTTTTTGATACCATCATTGGCTGCTTCAAATATGTTGATTTCTTCTCATTTCTCCATCATCTTGGCAAAGTAAAAAACATCTTCTTGAACCATTGAGTTCAGTTATAATTTTAGGACCTTTCAGCACAGCAGGGCAAATTGATAATTTTTTTTTTTGCACTATCCATTGAAATAAACGAAATCACGATTCAAGGTACTGGGTGGGAAATGAAATACTCAGTATCTCCCGAGGGGGGGTCTGCCATATGAATCTGACAGGTGTACTCATTGTGGCTAGAAATTGCAGAGTTTGATCTTGTTTGAGGTGGTCAGGACGGAAAGGCAGCGTTTTTACCTATAAACTGTTATTGCTTAGGGTTGTTTGTCAAGAAAAATCCACATAACGATTGCCATCTTAGGCTATGCTCATACCATACCCGGCGGATAGCATTTCGTGCATACACGGACAGCTATCCTGTATGATATCCACGATTTATGCGACTCCACTTAGAGATCGGGGCGACGCAGTTTCGCTCCGTTACAGAAATCGCACCGAAATCACCGTTCTTATGTCAGTGCCAGCAGAAGCCCTGTGGTTTCCGCGCAGGCGCAAAAGCTGTAAAGTCCGGTGTCCTGTGAAAATAGCCTTGGTGTCTTCTAGTAGAGTCCCCTTTCAGGAGGGTCTCAATGGGGTGGTAGCTTGACGGTTAAATGTTTCCAATTTCGACGGTTGACGGTTAAATTTTAGACTTTTCGACGGCTGACGGTTAACCCCAATGACACCCTCCTTTAGGGCTGAAATAAAGCCTAAGTCATGCCCAGATGGGTCTCCTTTGGAGGCGATTTAATCTAAGCTTTCGACGCCGAGGATCCCCGTATTGTTCATGTGAGAGTCCCCCCGGAGGATCGCGTGCGTGCAAACCGACAACGCAAACTCACTGCGTCATAATACCGAGATGGTGCCTTGACCAACTGACCAATCACAACAACAGACAGAAACAATCGCCCACCCAAACTACCAAGAAAAGGTCGAGTATAAAACAAGAAGTTTGGAGGTTTACCTCGGAATGAATCGCAAAGCGTTAAAAACAAACGTAAGTGATTTCGTTAACAATAAAACTATACGGCCATCACTTCAGCTGAGCTACTTTGCTTTGTCCTAAACTGCTTTGTTTGGTAAATTAATAAAATCAAAGTCTGGTTGAGGTGAAGGATGCATTACTCTAAAAGAGCTGCTTCGAGTACAAATTGTTCATTAATTGATGCAGTTTATAAAAGTTTACAAAAATGAAGGCATAAATATTAAAACAGCTCAATTTTTCGTTTTACTGCGCGGACTCCAAATATGCTATCAGGATATGTACATGTAGCCGGCGCTACTAGATGAATCTAATAAGACCAAACCTAAAAATTCTTTATTCTTTTGATCGATCTGAGGGTTTGTCTTTCACGCAATTTGTGACTTGACGTTCGTGTATGAAGAGAAGCGTTTAGTCTAACGACGGCTGAACGCAATTTAAACAGAGAATGAACAGCAGTAGCCATGAAGACCGTCGACCCTGCGGGCTTAGCTCTTTGGTCTCTGCAAGGACTGAATTTCGAATGTCCCGAAAGTTCAGCTTTAGCCAAAGGAGCTTGAATATGTGTTAGGGTCATATATTTTAAAAACCAAAACAGTATAAATTAACTGCTACAAATAGGTGTGTACTCGGCCCTGACTTCTACCCTAAGTAGGTAGAATACCAGCTTGTTTATCTTAACTGAGTGACTTCAGTTTGTAGGTCATTTAAACCGATATTAACCAAACATATGCATTCGTACGATGGAGTTTAAATCATTAAAGTTGCCGTTACAAAAGTCAATATTGGGTTCACTAAACCTACCTGAATTTAAGAGCAGTGATTTGGAGAAATCAAGCTTCCAGCGAAATGTCTAATTAGGAACTGGATGTGTATTATTCGAAAAATGCAGTACTGACTCAAATTATGCTTGGTGTAAAACACGTAATTGTCCTTTCAGGAACGAAAATTTCAGCAACGTAATTTCCTGTTTGTTGTTGAATGTTGATACTGATGATCGAGTTTAGTTCTGGGTCCAACATAACAATACTCCGTGGCCAGCTGAACGTTTTTTAAATGGCGCATTTAAATTGCTTGAAGATAAGTGTACATGCCCTCGTGCCACCGGAGTTGTGTTAAATCAGTTTTAGTCTATAATTACGATTTGCCTTGACCTGGAGAAATTCAGGTCATTTAACGATATAGGTAAGTACGTGTTTTCTGTTTATCTGAGTCAAGTAACGTGGCAAGCTTTTTGGAGTTTTTTTAGCTAAACATTTCAACGTGCCTTAAAGTTAACTTGTACCTGGAAATTGCCAGGCGATTTCCCCTTCTAATCCAAGCTGACTTGATAGCTTTGCATTCGATCTCAGAATTAAATTTTTCAGTCCCTATCCAATGACAACATACAATGTAGGCGATTTTATTGTACACGAGGCTGAGGTGAGATCAATACAGTTGTCAGACAACCTCATACGTATTTGTCATTTTCTTTTTTTTCTTACGTTACAGCGCGTGCTTTGCACACGTGCTTTGATTAATTATTCTCATATATTGTATTCTCTGTCATCATTTTCTCAAGTAGATTACGTTGGTGTAGTATTGTAGTATTGTGTTGTAGCACAACCACTATCCGCATAAAGATAACTTGTGCTGCTAAGAAAAGTGAGGGTGGGTATAGTGGAGGCGGATCGAGCTGGGTGGAGGGTGTAACTGAATATCAGCACGTTTGGTTTTTCTGGTTTGTTGGTATTGCAAAATTTATCACCTGATATTCTTACTCAACTGAGAGAGAAAGCAATATCTTTCCTTAGAAAAAACAACGCAAACGTCTTTAAAAAAGCAACCGGAAAAAAAGAGGAAAAATCAACAACAACATCGGTAAACTTGATATTTAATCTTTCAGAATAACTTCACTTTTATATTAGCTTAGGTTTATATTTTCAGTAATAATGGTATTAGTAATGATAATAATAATAATAATAATAATAATAATAATAATGATAATAATAATAATAATTCCGTTATTTACCCTCGGCAGTATTTGTAGCAAGTATTTGTAGGGGCCCTCCCTCTGCCCCTCACGGCTTCGCCGCTCGCTCGCGCGTTCTCGCGAGACTCGTTTAACTCGCCCAAATAGGAGAGCTTGCTAGCAGGCTAACTTGTTTCTTGTAGAATAGATAGAGCGAATTGTTGCATGGTTGATTGTTTGATCTTCTGATTGACCGACTTACAACTGTGGAACTGTTGGAAATTATTAAGAGTGTGTCCATGAGAAAACCAGGCAGAACCAGGCAGGGGGTGATAATGCTCAAATCACCGATTTCGCTCAAACTTGGCACAAATGTTAGGTATCAGGAGTTAGCTTATGTGACAGAAAGTCAGGTCAAAATATTAAATTCCCTGGGAGATCCGGGCACCCCCCGTAAAAATCGCCATTTTCCCCCATTTATGCATAATTAATTAGCTAACTTTACGATGCCAGTGCAACAAACAGAAAAGCCACGTGGAACTTGAATGCACTGAGAGACAATTTGACATTATAAGACTTTAAGCACAATAAACTGTTTAAAGTCGCCGATTCGATTTCCCCCCTCTTAGCCCCCTTAAGATGGGTCATCATTTCCAAGTTTTGAGTAAGACGTAAAATTAGGGTATTTTATTCCCAAATATCTCTGATGAGCAACCGCTTATCTTTATAACTTTTGCACGAGTAGTTAAAGCCATCACTTAAGTTGAGAAAAAGATCATAAAAAGTTTGGGCAATTCATTTTCTTCCATGTGTTGACATAAACTGTTCATGTGACTGAACGACTTTTGGATATTTCATCAAAATTCAGGCCCCTTCAATATTCGTGTGTTTGCCTTTGAATGAGGAGAAATCGAACAAAAAAACTCATCAGACAATGATTTAACATTAATAAGGGTAAAATCATAAAAATTGTTGCGCAAGAAACGCTAACGATGATTTCTGATAGCTATATACGCGATCTTTTCAAGTAAAAACAATATACAAAGATTTAATTCACAGTTCTACTTACTTTAACATGTTCGCCCTAAAAACAATATAAACGATCAATAAAATCCATATACGTATCTCTTAGATGTCTCAACTGCTAGTTTGTGCCCGCTTTGATTTGTTCCTCATGCCACCTTCGATGTCCAGTTCAGCGTAGTTCAGCGTCGTGACTAGCTGTACGACTAAAATTCCTTAGCCATCAGTTTACGCACCAAAATCTAAATCAAGTTGTTTTTAGGACAAAACAATACGAAAGGTAGAAAGCCGATTCTTAACCCATTTGAAAGAATTATTTCTGCCACTGTTGTAGCTCAATTCACATGTTGCAAACGTCCGACATCTTTGACATTAAATGGAGCCCGCATTTTTAAGCAGCGGTCGCCACCATACGGAAACATCGTATCGGGAGTCACGAACCAGGAGCCAGGAGCCAGGAGCCAGAGTTCAGTGAACAAAATGACTTTCCGACATTCTCTGAGATTATTTTATTGTTACTGTATGCTGATAAATAATTTAG